GCTGTGGATGTTGCGGCAATTGACTTTGAGGTGCTTGTTGTTGCGGGCCCCATGCTGCTTGTGGTACTGGCTGTGGATGTTGCGGCAATTGACTTTGAGGTGCTTGTTGTCGCGGACCCCATGCTGTTTGTGGTACTTGCTGTGGATGTTGCGGTGATTGACTTTGAGGTGCTTGTTGTCGCGGACCCCATGCTGCTTGTGGTACTTGCTGCAGATGTTGCAGTGATTGACTTTGAGGTGCTTGTTGACGCGGACCCCATGCTGTTTGTTGTTGCTGTTGCGGTAGTTGGCTTTGGGGTACTTGTTGTCGCGGAACCCATGCTGTTTGCGGTATTTGTGCTTGCTGTGACTTTTGCCATGGAACCTGTGCTGTTTGTTGCTGTACTTGCGGCACTTGCTGTGGCTGTTGGAAACCCTGTGCTCCTTGCTGCTGCTGTTGCGGTAGTTGGCTTTGGGGTACTTGTCGCGGAGCCCATGCTGTTGGCGGTATTTGCTGTGGCTGTTGAATACCCTGTGCTCCTTGCTGTTGCGGTAGTTGGCTTTGAGATACTTGTTGTTGCGGAACCCATGCTGTTTGTGGTACTTGTGCTTGCTGTGGCTGTTGCCATGGAACCTGTGCTGTTTGTTGCTGTACTTGGGGTACTTGCTGTGACGGTTGAGGTGCTTGCTGGCGTGAAGCCCATGCTCCTTGTAGTTGTGGCGGCTGCTGTTGTTGTGGTGGGCTTTGCTGCTTTTGTGGACCTTTAGCTACTTTCTGTTGCTGTTGTGGAGCCTTAGACTCCTGCTGTGATGAACCAGGAAGTGCTTGCCCTGAAGTTTCTTTCTTCTCATCTTGTGAGGTTGATGCAGCAGCAACATCTGCTGCTGCTGCTGCTGCTGCCTGCTTCTTCTTCTTTCCTATAATTTATATTCACACACACATGTATGTATATATATATATATATATTATTCTTTATTAAACACATCTTTCTCAAAGATCATGTACAATTCAAGTTTTAAGATTACACTTAAACCTCTCAATTAATTCAATTATGAAAAAATTAAATGTTTTAAATATATAAATAATAATAAAATAAATCAGTTCTTTGTACCCAAATCACATTACACTTTCTACATTTAAAGTAAAATAAGTATATTAAACATCAGAGAAAAAAAGTAAAGCTAAAATATACAAACAGTTTCGCAAAAACGAATCTATATAATGTCATCTTGACCCCACAAACATGAGTGTATACAGCGAGTGTAAATATGTGATATTTTCGACATAGCCCATTTGTGTCACAACCTTGAAATGTCATGACTTCATTATCGAGATTTTGAAATATGGAAATTCAATCTCAGACTCAACATACCGTTAAAACATACATACGTCGAATACTTCTTTTATTTGACTTATTTCTATATATCCCAGCCCATTTCACCCCTTTTTCTAAATACGAGCAAATAATTCAGGTAATGGATTTAAATTATGATCATGGAAATGATCATTTACAGAATGATGCAATTATCGGGGAAAATTAAGAAAGCGGTCTCCCAAAAGATCGGACGTAACGATCGGCACGGATACCTTTCTTTGTCGTCCTGCCTTAAATCGGTATCATCATTGTAACTTCGAAATAAGAAAATTCACAAACTCAAACTGCCTGTTCTTAGAACCATATGGATATCGACTACTTTATTATTTGACCTATATTTATATATATTGCGGTTCTTTTTCTAAATACGAGCAAATAATTCAGGTAATAGATCGAATTATCACGCGCACACATACACACGCATCACGGAAATTATCAATTATTGAGTGGAACGATTTACAGGGTAAGCCGTTTCCGGAGCAATCGTGCGTAACGACCAGCACACGTACCTTTCTTCGTCATCCTGTCTTAATGCGTTTTCAGAAGCTCCCAAAACGTATCGCGCGTAAATTTACTTGCTGACGCTGCTAGACCGAAGAATATGCACCTTCTTCCTCTATTTTATGGCCTTCAAGCAATGCTGTTCCGAAGATGGCCAGGACGACCTACTTGTCGTAGAATATGCAGATTAGTTAACAATGGTAGTGATGCCTACTGCGCCATTACCCAAACCCGACGTCTCCTACCTCGTACTGCCGCGGACTTCTTCAGTTTAATGCTAATGGCACCTGTCTGACCTCTCTCTTCAGTGGAAAATTACTGGCAGTTGGGCAATACCAGCAATACCGCTTCAAATGAAAGTTACTCCTCGAATGACCTCGAAATCACTCGAAATTCTCGTGGCACGCACTTACATACATACACAAGAGAATAAACAAGAATAAAGGAATTCCCTGGATGTTCCAAGATATACACAAAACATTTCGTTAAATAACTGACGTGTCATCACACTCAAGGCCGTGGCACAGAGAAAAACGCAGTAAGGAAAATCAACGGTGTGGATTCGCTACCGCTTAGGGCCGTGCCTCAAGTTCTTGACTGTGATTGGCTGATTTGCTGTGCCACGGCCTTCATGGCTCATGCGCACGGGACAAAAGACCTCTTTAGTTCTTTTTAGCTGAACTTCTTGCACGGTTTATCTTCTCTCTTTGTCTCTCCAACGTGAAAAGAAAGAAAGGAAAGATGAACCGTGCAGAAAGTTCAGCTAAAACGAACAAACCTTATCATATAACTGTCCAACTTATTGCACCAGGGTGCGCCCAGTTTCAAGTAGTTCTTCGAAAAAGAACAGACGGTACGGACGGAAGAAGTCGGCCATATTGTTGAAATCCATTGAGCATTGAGTTCGTAGCCACAGCTTCCATGAGAACTGTGCGTTTCCCTCCGCGATCGCGGATGTGTCGCATAACCAACGTCGCCTATCCCGACCGATAATGTTTATAAATACTGGGATTTGACATATGTTACGTGTGCCAGCGGTAACTCGGAAGGAGTCTCGCGCGAGAACCCGTCCTGTCCCCGGTGATGCGACGCAATTCGGAGCTATGTCCTTAATGTGATAGATCGTCGCCAAAGAGAATCGGACGTCGAAAGAGAAAATAAAAATGACAACTGGCCAAAGTGGGCACGATCATTCTCTCGCTATCAGACAGGAAATACAACGTTTCGAGAGCGTTCACCCGTCGATATACGCCATTTACGACCTGATAGAGCTCGTGCCCGACGCGCACATCGCCAAGCAAATTCGCGAGCATGTTGTCGCGATAGAGGGTATGTATACCTTAGAATTTCATATTTCTACCATATTTCTCAGTCATCTTGTATGATTAAATGTCGTATGTTATAAGATTGCGTTGTACATAATGGTGTAAATTTGCCGTTTTTAGATTCCTTTGTCAATAGCCATGAATGGACCCTGGCGAGAGATGTCCCTGAATTGCACCTGGGGATCATCGGTTCCTCAGACTCGGGCAAGTCCGCTCTCGTTCACAGGTACCTCACTGGTTCCTTCATGCATGAGGAATCGCCGGAAGGTGGCCGCTTTAAAAAGGAAATATTCATAAATGATCAGAGTTACCTTCTCCTGATCAGAGACGAGGGTGGTGTGCCAGAGGCTCAAGTATGTATAACATACAGATCACTTCTGTTTCACACGTTGTGTGTCATTCTGCTAATGCTTGCCTGTTGTATTAAATGATAATGAATGTCTGTTTTAGTTTTCAGCTTGGATAGATGCTTTATTACTTGTATTCAGCTTAGAAAATGAAGAGAGTTTCTCCATAGTTTGCAGTTTTTACAATAGAATGTGTTCGTTCCGAAACATGTCAGAAGTACCAAAAATACTTGTAGGCGTACAAGGTATGTATATCGCTGACACTTTGTCGATATATTTTTTTTGTTGGCTGTTCCTTATACGTTTATTTTTCTGAATGCTTTGTTAATTTCGTAGATTCGATTAACGACAGCAATCCTCGTGTCATAAAAGACGTCAGACCACGGAAACTGGCTTGTGATTTAAAATGCCCTTATTACGAAACATGTGCTATTTATGGTTTAAATGTTGAGAGAGTATTTCAAGATGGTAAGAGTGTTTTTTAAATAAATGGATATGTGTTACAAGTTGGAACACAAATATCTTTCTTTAAACTAGCTGTAATGTATGTACTAACGATAGAACAATTTCAGTGTGTCAAAAAATTATACAAAACGTATCAAAGAATTTTTCATGCGACGTGTGCCAACGTGCTACGGAGAATGACGTTAAATTTGCGGTCCCTGCTGTTACTAAAAACGTGCAACTTCATAACAAGGATACGGAGACCACGAATTCGTTGAAAGTAAATGTCAGCTACAATCTCGAACGAATCGTCAAAGATGTCATGCAAGTTTATTGAAATATAATCTCTCGACAGGTTTCAGAAAAGGACGAGGATTGTCGATCAATTCATAATAGTTCTATGACAAACGATTCGTCGTTGCTGAACGATAACTTTCATAACGTACAGAATCAACATGGAGAATTACGTTCAATCTTAACACCAACAACTATCAGGTATGAATACAGTGTATATATATATTTTTTTCTTTTTGTAATGCTTTCTAAGTTTTTCCATTGATACTATTGTAATATTTTTTTTCAGGAAATTTAGAAGAAAATCGAATATATTTACGCCTTCTAAAAAGGAAAAATATATGGGTGAAATGGGTGTCGGTAGAGAAATACCAGTGAAACAAGGTTATCTGTTTAAACGAAGCAGCAAATCGTTGAAAGAATGGAAGAAGAAATACGTCACGTTATTAGAGGATGGCCGTTTAACGTATCATTCGAGCTTGCACGTAATTATCGGTTATAGTATATAGTAGCTGCCTGCTTTATCGCCTTTGTTCATTTATGCGATATATTTACTACAAAAAGGCATTTTCAGGATTACATGAACGATACTAATGGCAAAGAAATACTTTTGCAATACGTTACTGTTAAGGTACCTGGCAAAACGCCAAAAGGCTCTAAATCATATAATGCCCAAGGTATTGCATTTTGCGTTCTATGTATGATTAACCGATTTTAATACACTTTTTTTTATTATTTTTGACATTAACATACCCAACATACCCTTTCTTTTTCCAGAAGATAGTTTTGAATTTTCCATCATCTCCTTGGAGAACAAAACTTGGCACTTTGAGGCAAACAATACCGAAGAGAGGGACAGCTGGATTACTGCGATAGAGCAACAAATACTGTCGAGCTTGCAGAATAGCGACGGCGACAAGAAGAATGAAACTGACGCTTTCAAGATGCACTGCATAAAGAACAAAGTTTCGGGGAATGACGCATGCGTTGATTGCGGTGCGCCGAGTGAGTGGATTTTCGTCTTATTAATTACCGCGCGAATAATGACCCGCGTACACACATCTCTCTATGATTACAATTCTTTGCTTCAGATCCCGATTGGGCCAGCCTTAATCTAGGCGTTTTGGTGTGCATTGAATGCTCCGGTATTCACAGAAACTTAGGTTCGCACATATCTAAGGTACGGTCTTTGGATTTGGATGACTGGTCGTAAGTATGATGCAAAGTTTTACGCGCGTTACTAACACGCGTTCGATTCTACTTGGCCCGTATTGTCGAAGTTATTTAATGATGTATCTTTAACGACGATTTTAGCGCAGGTCACCTAAGCGTCATGCTGGCCCTTGGTAACGATATAGCGAACAGCATCTGGGAATATTGTTTAAATGGGAAGCAAAAACCCGTCTCGGATTCGTCGAGGGAAGAGAAAGAGCAGTGGATCAGATGGAAGTACGAGGATAAACTCTTCCTGCCGCCGATCAACCCGAACATCTCTTTAGGAAAATTGCTCATCGATTCGGTTTGCCGGTAAAGTATCTCACTTCTCTAACCGGGCGCAGATGTCGATTAAGCGTGAGTGTGTTCCCGCGATCTTACTATCTCCGTATATACAGGGGAGACATGAGAGCCTTTACGTTATGTTTGGCCCGCTGTAATTACGAGGATATCAATATCTCGGTCAGCACGGAAGATCTGCGAACGCCGTTACATCTGGCCTGCGCGACCGGGAATTTGGCGATGGCGCAACTTTTAATATGGGTGAGCGGTCCTTTTTCATTTATCTAAAACGCATTTTGTCATTGCCCTGCTATAGCGCCGTGTTATCGCGAATTTTGCAGCATAAAGCGAATCCACAAAATCTGGATCACGAGGGACGGACATGCATGTCGTACGTGCGTGCTTTGGAAAGAACGCTCGATAATTCGTCTGACTCTATGGAGATGCAGAAGCTACTCGAGGTACTGGAGCAGGCCAGTGTCTCCGGGATGGACGACGTAGACACATCGCAGTATTAAAGTTAAAAAAAAAAAAGATATGCCTTAATCACCCTGCCTGCATTTTTCGTAATACGTTGTTGATACTGTGTACTTACTATGAAAACTCAATGCTTTGTTTAGCGACTCACGAGAAAGAAAAGCTTTTAAATGACATTTGTCCTAGATAACCACCGAAGCACATTGAAATTGGATTGTAGTAACGTTCAACTACCGTAGTATTAATTGTGTATCCTGTAAAAAGTTTTTATCGCGTGTGACGAACTCATTTTAATATCGATTACGAAATTCACCTCGAATTGAACGAGGAATTTTAAATGCAATATACTTTTGTACATTGAGAATAATCCTTTAAAAGAAAAAAAAATATATGTACTTTTCACAGTACGATAATTTAATAAGATTTGTGTCGATCGCGGAGAATGATTAATAGCATGCTCGAGTGTATATTGTCAATGACTGAGAGTACAAACACTCATAAATGTAGTTATATTTATACATCTAATACATGTAACTGTATTTGAAGATTTATGAGATTGCTTTTATAACTTTTATTTTATTAATTATTAAACGTTCAATTACATCACGCACCATGTCCCGTTTATTCAAAATTGCACGAATTCTCAAGTTTTTATTCGTTTCTTGAAGTTCAAGAGCGATGCGTTTCATAGCCACTTACATCTCGCCGATGATGATATTGCGCTTATACCGTAAACTATTTCCTCTTGTACATTTACATCGTCTGAAGAGAAAAGAAAACAGAATAAAATTAGTAGAACTCAATCTTTTTATACGGTATAAATTTCTTATTTTTGTTTCTTATTTGCTTTACCAGTAGAATATATATTTGTTGGAAAGATAGGTATTTTGTTATAATAAGTGGTAGTCGTTAGCATCGACCCGGCAGTATGAGATGAAACAGAAGCTCTCCATACAGAGGGATTCCTGTAATAAGATAGATACGCAGTGTTTTACATTAGTATTTACTACAGTTTTGTATTATTCCACATACAAATAATTTTTTTTTTTTTATATATCAACGATACTATCACGGAAAAATTTTACTTACATCTTGTTCAATTCATTAGCCAACGCGTTAGGTAGCGGTACCGTCAAAGTAAAAATTTGGCTACAAAGCTCAGTATGATGCTGTAAGGGAGACTGTGCAGAAACGAATTCTTTGTAAGCGTAAGCAAACAGGCTTTGCAGGCTCTCAATCGGAAATTCCAGATGCCCTTCAATAAGTAGCATGCATTCCAAACAGATGTGAATTTGCGCTAACGTAATCAACTTATTCCTGCAAGTAATTAATGAAGTCGCAATTAACGCCAATTTTGATCCCGATTCTGTTCAATTTACAGAATGTATCCCGTATTTTATTACCTATAACTCTCTGTGTTGAATATTCCAGAAGATATATCGCTTAGTCTCTGCCGAATATCATGTAGATCGACAAATCGCGCTCCTCTCAGAATGTATAAATAATCACGAGTGAGCTTCTCGAATCCCATATCTACGACAAGCTCTAACGGTACACTTCCCACTAACAAATGGGATGTCGTTTCTTGATGATGCAGATTGGAAATACACTTCACAAATCTCGTTGAATTTGTATCGTTGATCTGACAAATGTGCCAAAATGTTTACAAATTCGTCAATCGTTTATAATTATAACTGAGAAGCCGGGCGAAAAAGTGTATATTTCGTTCATTACCTGTGGTATAAACTTATGCTCGAGAATTTCCATCAAAACTGTTTCAACGTAGTTAATCATTTGCGGATATGCTGAAGCCTCTTTGTGTGTTGAGAAAAATACCCGATTAGTCAACAATATATATAATATATATATATATATATATAAAAGCAATACGTTTGATGAATTTCACTCACTTATAAGTATTTCCCACAAGAAGTCAGTAAAATCTCCATCATGTCTCAGAAAAACGTTTTGTACACGTTCCTGTAGTTTCGCGTCAATTTCAGTATTCTCCTTGGCAATACGACTGCTTTCCTTAACATTATCAGACTTCCGAAAACTGAAATCTCCGTTCAGTAAAAGATTTAATTTTTCGGTTACAATGTCGTGTTCCTAAAACATTGCCGCATATAATTCAAGATATAAAAAATAAATCGAAACGTTTTTAAAGGGATGTAGAGAGATTTATCTACCTCTGAATATGGCGTTGTGAATTTTATCGGGTTCTGCACTCCCATATTTTTCTTGCACTCATCTATCGTTGATAAATATTGGATTAATAAAAATAGCTGGTCTCTCAGTTCCTTTAACGGGCTATCTTTCCATCCGGCATTTATTTGAGCTATCTACAAAAAATATTTGTACAAATACGAGAACACATACAATATATATTCTTGTGTACTCTTTTCGCGCTTACATACCAAAGTATTTTTCGATGGCCTCGAATCCAAGCTATTTGAATGCATTTCAATGTTAATGCTTCCTTCGAAATCGCTTTTGGCGGTCTTATCCCAATCAATCGTTTCTTGTTTCATTCCAAGCAAGTCAACAGCACTGAACACAGATATTTTAATCTACACATATCGAAAATCAATTAAATCTGCAATGTTATAATGCTCCAATGTTAAACTCTTGTATATTACGTACATTGTTAAGGTTCTGTGTAAACGATTGTTTAAGATGTTCCTGCATAATTTTATGACAATCGTTTCTTACTGCGGCCAAGCTTGTCGTACCAGTAGAAACAGCTTCCAGCGTGGTAAACCAATCTTGGGAGACAACGGCGCCAATAAGCCTGCTCCGCTTAGGATCTTTTCCATCGCAGAGAGCTAATATTGGCAAAGTATTACGGTCAACATGTTCCAGACATGCGTTCAGGGCGTTACTAGAAAAAATAAATAAGTGTGTCTTGTCAAATATTAGAAATATCTTTTATCAATCCTTTTGAATATTATATTGGATATCAGAGATATCTCTTAATGACATTATTGACTCTGTACGCACCATGCGTCCGTTCTGCTCAGTGGCAAATACGATTCCTCTTCTTTCCGCCAATTTTGTCTCATTATAACGACGGTGTCGTCGAAATCGCAGTTGTCAAACGAATACTCCAGAGGCGACCCGCTGACGTCATGGCCTAAAGAACATTTCAAACTTGTTTGTATTTCCAGTGGAGTGAAAATAACCTCTAAAGTTAAACACGCGTCTCATTACTCGTCGAGTACTCGTCGAAGGTTCCTTCGTTCTTCCCGTGGTCCGAGGGGTGCCGCATGCCAGGAACCTGAGGCAGATCGCTCTGTCATATTGTATGCAAAAGTCGTGGAAGGGAAGCGAGGTTTTTTTTATTTGATCACTCACATTTTTATGAAGGACGATGTACGAATTATCCTTGAAGTCCGGAAATAATTCGTCCACATATGACAGCTTAACTTTGCTGGCTCGAACATGCGGCCGCAAGATATCATTAAACTGTTCCATATCTTATCACAACGTATGTATGTACGGTTCGATTTGAATTAAATGGAGATCAAAACATCAAAGATGGCACATTCGCGAAAGCATCGACGAAATTTTACAAAGAGACGAAGCGGTAATGCTAGCTCTACAATGCGAGTCGTAAAGTCGTGAGTCGTAAGAATTGACCAATCACAGTCGATTATTCTCCTCAAATTCGATTGTGATTGGTCAATTCTTATGACTCACGACTTTACGACTCGCATTGTAGACCTAGCATAAAAAGAAAAATTGTCCCGAGTCGCACAACCGCCGCGCCGCTACTTCCGAGTTCTAGAAGCGGTTAAATTTGAATAATTATCGATAAGCATTTCTAATCACTTTTTTCCGATTTTTAATTAAAAAAAATAATATTTACAAATGTACTTGTTGTTCCGATGGTTGAAACATCTTGAAAACTGAACAAAGGGACGAATTCAGTTTAGAAAACTTTTGAAACTAGAAGTTTAGTTTAAGAATTAAGAGAGGTTTCTAAAGATAGAATTGTATTAATTCCATATTTTATAATTATTACGTTTTTTGTATGTATGTATAATGTATATTTATTTGTGGCGCAGCATATTCCCAAAATCACATAAAAAATATAAATAATACAAAGGATTATTTTAACATCGCCAAACCACTCGCAAGTTTCTCACATATTCAATAACTTCTTGCTACTAAAATACGATCGGTTTTACGCGAAATTACTAAATCTATTTGATTTACATACAAGAATCAGAATATATTTACAGAAAATTGTTAACTTACAACAATCTATGAATGTCATCACACACGATTTTTATACTATATTTAACGTTATTTCATGTATTGTCTTGGAAGATAAAATTAAAAGATAAACGCAAAATCATAAATCAAAATCATAAAGTGAATGTCATCAACATGTTAAGAGTTAAAAAAAAGTCTAAACAATTTTTGTTTTGTCAATATTTAAACCTTTTTACAGCAAGCTTCGTGTTTCTGGATCCGATTGGGTAAAAAAGTTCTCTTGCATTTTTTACATGGAATTAATTGCGCGGTGTGCTCTTCCCAATCGACTTCTCCTTCTTTAATATCTGAAATGCATTACAGTAGAATAATTTTTGAATTATTTTTAAAAATACGTACATTATTTATACAATTCCCCTTAACATCTCGTAATCAGTTCTTAATATTATAAAAAAACATTTTTGTTACTCCATAATAGTTATTCCATAATAAAATTTATAGGTTTTGAATTATAAACAAATATTTAACAAATTTAAACAAAGAAACTATACCTTACAAATATGACTAACTGCAACACAATTTATTGATTTATTCTTCTGTTAATTGCTTTCTTCTTAACTTCAAATATTATCTTATACATGTATTATATATATTGGCACATTTAAAACTGAGAAAAATATAATAATATATAATGATTAACAAGATGGGAAGAGTTCATAAAAGAACGACAGACAAAAAAAAATTCTAAATTTATTATTTTATAAACAGTGCAATTTTTTATTAATTTCACTAAAAAAATTTAATATACCTTCAACTACTTTTTGAGCTGGCTCGGAATGCAATTGGGGCTGAATTGTGTTCTCGACCTCCAGTGATTTCTCAAGCTTCTTACCGTTTGGTGGTGTCCGTGATAATACATGTCTTGGTTTCATTGGATTAAATATTACCTGTAAATATAAAAAAAGAATAAATTAATATGTTAATAAATCAACCTTATTAAGCAAAAAAGAAATAGGTACCTTGTAGAATCTTACAGAATTATATATTAGTTCTTTTGACAGATAATTTTTTAGATCGTTTTGTAAATATGATATTAAATAACTTTTTGGATTTTTAAAATATCATTCCAAGTTTCTACGATATTTTTAATAATAACTCAATGTAGAAGATAAATGATTTTTGGTAAAAATGAATTATATGTATCTTGTACAATTTTCTAAGATACTCTAAAAACTTTCTACCTTTTCCGTTGATTCTGGCTGCTTTTTATCGTTCTCTTCTTTCTTCTCCCTTCTCTTTTTCTTCAATTCCACATTATTGATATTTTCTACATTTGTTTGGGAGTTCTTGGCACGTGTGTTCTTTTCCTTAGGAGTAAAACAAATATCACTAAATTGACCTTCTTCGAGGTGGTCTTTGTAAAGCTCTCTCATCTCTGGACTAAACAAGCCCCTATTGTTTTTAATTCTTCCAACAGCTTCGTTTTCCTCTTTTTGTTTCTTAGGAGTTTCCATATCAGTTCTATTAACATTTTCTTTGTTTTCTTGGTCACGTGGTTTCTGTAAAATATCAATAAAATTTCTTTTCTAGTTACTATATACGTAATAAAAACATCATACATTTGAATGATAATCTTACCTGATTTTGACATATTTTAATATCACATTTACATGGTGGAGCACATTTGTTGCTCTTCTTTACGCAACCACAAATTCGTGAGGAACAACTCCCTTTACAGCTACAGCCAGACTTCTCAACTGGACTTTTAATTGTAGCTGTTGCTGTTGCTCGTGGAGTGAGAGGAAGTGGCCTCTGACCACGTACAACGTAATTAATTGTAGCTGTTGCTGTTGCTCGTGGAGTGAGAGGAAGTGGCCTCTGACCACGTACAACGTAATCAGACTTGTTAGAGCTTCCCACGTGTTTTCGCAGAACATTATTTTCCAGTTGCAGCACTCTCACTTGCTCTTCTAACTTGGCAACTTCCAGAAGACTATCAATATTTTCGGTCTGAGTACCAATGTTTTTTGAGCCGCTAGAAAATAAGATTTCTCGTGTTATACACAATGGAGAATAACAATAAAGATTTATATCAATATTGTAATAACGGACGAGCTTCTTAACAGAACCAAAACAGACATGCGATTTCTCATTTCTCGCTTACCTGGGCAACTTTGTAGACTTTGCGGATGGTTTCGTTCTTTTCATTTTTCCTTGTTCTTGAGACACTCCGCAGTAATTTACGGTCTGAGACCAAAATGCGACAATCGGCGACTGATGACTGATGACTCGGCGGTCACGGTAACAGATTCGACGGTTTCTTTCCTTTTAAATCAAACGTATCGAAAAAAAGGGGGACTATCTTCAGCGCCGTCTAGCTCGGAAAATCACGAACCAAAGTGAACCAGTTACCAGGTGAGGTGGATGTGTGGGAAGTTTGCGCTACACACTTTTATTTCTATCCTACCATACCATTTGAGCTATTGGCTTGGAATTTGGACTTTGGAGGTTAGAGCGTGTGCTAGTAACAAAGCTGGGAAAGGTGTTCGTGTTGAGAGAGAGAGAGGGAGAGATTTATATTTATCGAGGTTGCTCTCGTGCTCCTCTCCGAAACTTGACGGGACAAATAAGTCAAACGTCAAACGGGATACTGCCAAGATGTCACAGGAGATAGATCTGTTGCATTGTTATCACCGTGGCTGTGGAAAGAAATTCGATCCGAGAGATAACAAGGACGGTAGGTTATACGGTGGTTTTTCTGCAAATCTGCGATTGCTATTTCTTTTTACATTAAATTAACAGCACGTACGAGAGGAAAAACAATGCTCTTGCGTCTCTTTCGCAGACGCTTGCCTTCACCATCCGGGACATCCGGTGTTTCACGACGCGTACAAGGGATGGTCCTGTTGCAGCAAGAAGTGTACAGACTTTACCGAGTTCTTGAACATCAAGGGATGCACGAGGTCGAAGCACTCGAACGATAAACCGCCGGAACCGGAAAAACCGCCGGTCGATAAAAGTAAAGCTGGCGAAGTGATACAGGTCGTCACAAAGCCTCTAAGTAACAGAGCAGCCTTAGCGAGGCCTTCCTTCGATGCGCCACAGCTCATGCTGTCGCCGACGATATCTCCCGCTCTGCTAGAAATAGAATTGTCTTATCTTAAAGGGTTGACAGCTTTAGAAGCTGACAAACCGACAGACAATACGGTACAGATAGGTCAAACTTGTAAAAACAATTCCTGCAAAGGGACTTATGAGGGAATTGCCTCTGACAAGGAGGTTTGCAATTATCATCCTGGTGTGCCTATCTTTCACGAAGGTTTGAAATATTGGTCTTGCTGTCAGAAAAAAACCACAGAGTTTTCTACGTTTCTGGAACAGCCAGGCTGTACGCAAGGCAGACACGTATGGTTTTCCAAGGTATATCGTTTAGACAAGCAAAATTTTATTTAATATTTTTCTTTTATAATTTTCGACGTATAAGTAAAATTCATTTTTTTTTCTCCAGAATGTAGGAAAGAAGGCTCAATGTAGGATGGATTGGCATCAAACCGGATCACACGTGGTCGTTTCTATATTCGCGAAAAAATACCTGGCCAGTCAGTCTTTCATAAAATTAAATCCCATTCATCTGACTGTAGAATTATTCTTTGTAGAAGAAAATTCGAGATATAATCTTGATATAGAATTGAGAGGGGTACGTGTTAGTTTTAGTGCTTTAATTTCGAACGAGTAGCTAACGAAATTAAATCGGTATTTTACAATGTACGTTTTTCTGCTCTTTTTAGATTGTCAACGTCGAGCAAAGTAGTGTACATATGCTGCCAACCAAAGTAGAAATTAAATTGAAGAAGGCTGACATTGGTTCCTGGTCGAAATTGGATGTTCCCAGAGATGCAGAACCAAAAGACCTTGAAAGTAATGAAAATTCGGCGAATCTCAATTCGCAAATTGAAGCTGTGGATCTTAGTGACCTTTAAATACTAACGATCTTTAATTATAAAAAAAAAACGTACAATTAAATCTATAAAATTGTAATCATTTTCTATTTTGAAATGATTTATTCGAGTTTATAAAAGAGAAGAGAGTTTTAAGAGTACACAAGACGTGTTGTGTGCTGACCGTTTTCGTTACAGTAATCTTAGCGCGATGGCAATACGATGGAAGTGTATTCAATTTTCTTTGTTTTAAATTAGAAAAGTCCAAGCTGTGAGTGTGTATGAAATATTGATATTTTTTTATAAAGTTTACTTCTTTTTCCATCTCCTGAAAGAAAAGATAGATTTAGTGTTAATAAACAATTTAAATTGATATTTTATCACATGGGTTCTTTCTTTTCCTATAAAAAATGTATTCATCCAAGTTATGCGCGTATAACAATCAAATTTCTATATTCTTAATTGACTTTTCTACTGTAAAAATTTGTCTTTGGAAGCAATTAATAGAATATTTAAGAATATGGAGGTTCTGTGTAAGTGTATTGTATACACTCATCTACACTAACCTTTTGACATGAGAGACACGCCGCCGAACGTGTGTCGATTGTTTATCTCAAGAGCCGAACGATGCTGGCCAGTGGATCGAAATTGCGGGTAAATAATTATTGACGCGATGACATAAAACTAAATTAACGCACATACATAGTGTGGAATATTTCCCTTACTTTAGATACTAGCGCTTCACGGTTATAGGCAATCGGACGTGATCTTCAGTGCTAAATTGGGAGCATTGAGAAAAGGATTTAAAAAAGAAATAGATTTCACGTTTGTAAGAGCGCCGCATAAGGTCCCATCCCAGGATGGAACTGATCAAGTGGATACGGATGAAAATGGTGTGAAAGAAATATTAGTAAAATCACAAAGTTTCTCCCATCATCACCCTGCGCGGTGATTGCAACGTGACTCGATGAACATTAACGATTTTGCTACGTATGAATTATAGGATACGGATGGTGGTTTAATACAGAGGATCATGTGTTTAAAGCCAGAGTACCTAGCGACTTATGTGTAGGATTTGATGAGAGTGTAGCTGTGATCGAGAAGGCATTCTTGGAACAAGGTCCTTTCGATGGCATATTAGGTTTCTCACAAGGAGCTGCTTTTGTCTCTATACTATGTGCAATGAAGAAGAAGAAAAGTAAAATAATATACATTAACGCATGTTATTATATGCAAACATGTATGCCTACATATGTAAAATTAATATGTAATTGCCATCTTGCAGTATTACAAATTGAGTTTGACTTTGCTATTATGATATCTGGCTTCAAGTCACTGTGTGCACCTCACGCAAAGTATTACGACGAAGAAATCGATATACCTTCTTTGCATATTTATGGAGAGAATGATCAAGTCATTCCGACAGGTATATGATCAATAATTTAATATTATTAATGTAATAACATTCAATATTACTAAAATACTAAGAGGTTTAATATTGTTAATACATAATTCGTGATGTTGAATAAGAAATCTCATTCGATGTTTGCTTCAATGGTTAATACAATTATTATTTGTATAGTAATGGCAGAGCAAATCAGTAGTCTCTTCCCAAATAAGAAGGAGGTACGGCACGAAGGAGGCCATTATGTGCCGAGTAAAAAATATATTTATAAGGATTTTGTAATGGAAATCTCCCAGTTTTACTGAGGTGCGAAGTTCGCAAACCTTTAGTATTGTAAGAAATTTAGAAATATTTGGTTAATGGTTCATGGCGTAAGGCCGCGCTAGTGTCGCAATGCATGTGTAGTTCATCATGGATATACGAAGGGCGCAATAGGCGCTTGTAGAGGGTCCCTAGGTAACGTAACTATAGGGATCTTGGGGCGCGAGGCGCGTTTTTCAACCGTTTCAACGGTCGTCGTGCTGCGTGCAGATCCGTGCAAGTTCGGTCTTGGAGAGTCGAGTCAGAGATCAGAGCTTCGCCAGTAGTCAATCGCCAGTTACGTTCGTTCCGAAAGGTATTATACGAAAGTTCATTAAAATATATATGTATATATACCCAAGAATCATCTCTTCAATTCATTCGGACATCCTTACAGTATCCTTGGAGAATTCAATTGCATTGCAAAACAAAAACGCCCCCCAATCTGCTGCCCAACAACAGCTACAAGGTCAACCTAAAATATATCGAGGAAAGGCCAAAAATATGATAGATCCAGATGCTATAGCGCGTCCACGAGGCAGGCAACAACAGCCACAACCTCAAGGGCAACGAGCGCCAGGAGGTAAGCCAAAACTCCAGCTACCTTGCACACTTAACAAGCCTACCAATATACCTACGTCTGATCAACTGAAATGCGTAGTCTTAGCAGATGATGATCCTGTGAGAAATTCTGTCTTCGCTCATGGTATCGGCATACGTGAAGTGAACGCTAACAGACGCATGACACCAGCCGCGTCATCCTTAATCGAAGTGAGTCGTTATGTTTATCGCGAATTAATAACAGACGACTTCAATATCCAGAAAAGCATAGTACCAGAATATCTGGATTATTATGCTACTGCACTACTGTGGTTTAGGATTACCAAGCTGAAATGTTTGGCTCACGACGTGTTAACACAAGAAGAGGAACGACTCTTATCGATCATTACTGGATGCTCCCTTTATGTACCTGAACCATTTATGCTTCAGCTGCTCATGTTTGGAAGAATCCAAACCCTAACTGGGGCACATCTCTGTTCGGAGTTTCCCCCCCTGCCTACTGAAGTCGTTCAAGGCTTTGGAGGCTACTACGGACCTATTTCTGCTGACACTCATAATCTTTATGAGGAAATACCTTGTCTCGGAGTAACATCGGAATCCGTTCGTCATTCAATCAGTAATGACCCTCCAGGACGTTATCATTCATCTTTAGAGCGTCCTGCCGACAACATAATACCTAATGAAAATCTACTCGGTTTTAAACCATTAGGTGCGAGATGTGAAGAGGCCAAAAACTTTGCTTTTTTCGCTGGAATTACTTCTGAAGAATTCCCTGTCTCACTACCGAATACCGGAATTAATTTAGATTTTATTCGCAGCATTTCTGGTATTCTTTCCCGGACTAAGACTTTTAAAACAACTCGGCTAGATATAACAACAATGGCAGAGTCTGGATCCATAACTCAAGCGATCATGCAGAAACCCATCCCTGCCACTGAAACAACGCAGAAGCGAGGAGAAATCTACTCTTTCGCCAATTTTGGAGGTCAGGATTTGGCCTCAGCTTATGGTCTCGGTCTCGTGTACACTCCCAATCTATTCAAAGAAGGACTGACACCGGGCTTAATTGCTGAGTGGTGTTGTATCAACACCCCACCCGTCGAATACATCAATAATCGGAATGATCGAAGAGACACTATCCCTCCAGGTTATCGAGAAGAAGTGTTTACGTCCTCAACACAATCGGGCCAACAGTACCGACAACATATGGTACGCATGATGCTTACTACAAAACGGTGAACCATCCTCAGATAAGATCTCTGAGTAGGACTAAGAAACTATTCTCCCACGCAGTATTTACCATCCTTAAAACCATTTAGCAAATATAAGAACTTAAGCAATTAACAATAAATTTTATTTTATTACTGAATTTTATTCCACTAATTTAGCATGCAATTCTATTGGAGAGAATTTAAATGTGTGTATGAATAATAAATAAATGCCAGAGGAATTTTTTTAAATATTAAATAAAAGTATGTAATCATATACAATATATTTTTTTTCTGCTAATGTCATGTAGCATGACATTATTTGCGGTGTGTTGTTACAAGTCTTATCGTAACGTACAGTTAATGGTGTTGCCATTAGTTATAAAACTGTATAAGTTAGACAATAATTAATAGGATACAATATTACAGAACTAAAGATCATTAATTAGAGCATTATATTTTACAATTACGATTGTGTATTGTATATCAGCTCAGATCCAGTCTGCCTTATATGCCACTACCAACGTGACTACCGAACTTGCAATTTAGATATCCACATTACAGGGTCATATATATTAAATAAAAAATGTAATGTGTATTTTACAAAATATTGCATCTTATTTGGTTTTCCTTGCGGTACAAGGACGTATAAGCGAAAATAATATAAAGCACAGATGAACAGGATATTCAATTTGAATCATTATAAAAAGGTATTTTAAAATAATTAAGCTATACCTGTAACTTAAATGTAAGTTGAGGTATTTATATCTCGCATTTTGACCATAACAAAACACTTATGTTAATTTTATAGCTATATTAATTTGGTTTGATGCGCAATAGTGAGCAGAATTTTTTTTACTTTTATTATCACTTTCAGTCTAATAATCAAGTACAAATTAGTACTCATCACATGTCCTTACAAGACTGAAGATCGCATGACTATATAGCATCCTCATTGAATTGAATATTGAAAAATTTTTTGCAGCTCTGAATACTCGTGTAAAGTTGCATGTATCTAATATTCATACGGTATTCGTTACCATAATATTCACACTCTAATATTTCACATACGTGGTACGTAAGATTTCCCTTTGCCCCCCCCTTTTTTTTTACCATCCAGAGCTGTCCTGACGATTACTAAATTGCGCAGAACACAAAACTTCATCGTCGATTGACGCAACATCGTCCGCGTCGTTTCAAGGTGACTGCTCTTGGCCATTGTTCTCTTGGGATTTCATAACGTCAGGGAGGTCCGGCGGTAGTGAGAAGGGTGTCATTTCGAGAGTTTCAAACTGACCATCAGGCTGACGCAGAGCTAAACCGACTAACGCAGGACATTGCGCTTTCGCAGTTGACGATGTCAGTCCATAATCCTGTAAAGTCTTGTTGTCCGACATTAGAAGGTTGTCCTTGTTGAATAGCTGTTGATTTGCCGGTGGTACTTTCATTATACCTGTGAAGAAGAAGAAGAGGGTGTATTAATTGCAATATTAAAAAATGATTTATTTTTTTATGAATCTTTCAGTGCTTCCAATCATTAATCAACACACTATCTGTTATTATTTCTTAATAAACAACAAGCCTAAATCTTTCAAAGGTTACTCAATCTTTGATGACTTATGACAATGTCACTGAAATGTCCTCTTTCGTCAACAATCATTCAAGTCAGATTAGAATCAGGACCATAATAGAATAAATCAGATTTGTTAAAATAATCAAAGAATAAAAAAAGAAAACAAATTAGGTAACAATGATAGTAAGTATTCGAGTAAAACGTTGATTGTGTTATAACAAATATGTAACATGTTTATTGTCATGAAAGTATTCATCTATTCAATTAATTATTAAAGCTAAACAACTTTGACAGTAATAGTGTTCAGCTCAACGGCAATGTGTGTAAAAGTCAAGGAAGATGTGTATCTCACGTTAAATAGTTCATTGACAATAAATGTAAAATTCTGAATAAAATTATATAGGTGAAAATTTCTGGTAAAAAACTCATTTAATTATTCAGAATATTTTTTACGAAAAATATATACGAATTAAATATGGATGATTTCTATAGTATTTTATCTTCAATTTTTACTGTAACGTGCATTCTACATTTCATCTTTGTTACTTGTCCTAATTAGTTGATCTTATAATTTTCCAGATTCTTTAATTTTTAAAATTCTTCGTCTCCTGGGCTCATTTTTCAATCTCAAGATCAAAGTACTTCAAGTAAAAAATCTATTATTCCAGAAAGATTAAAGTTTACATAAATTTTCTTCATGTTTTTATACAGTTTATGTCAAGTATACTATTATCGTATACTTGAGATACATATATAAAATTACTCTATTCTCTATTAACACAATTTATTCTATATATATCACTGATCAGGCCTGACCCTGCGTTCACTCAACGAATCGAGAGGAAAGTCGCTTTATTGAAGCAATAATCATTCAATTACGAATCGCCGAGCGACATGTCGAGAGGACGATCCGTTGTCACAGGTGTGCTCGCGAGAGATACGCGTGCTTTACCTTCGATCATCTTCTTCAGCTCGAGGACCGTGGTGTCGTCCTTCGCGTCGGTGAATATCGTCAATTTTTTTCGCCTGATCATTAGAAATACGTCCTGCAAAACGGGAAAGAGGTCGTCGTGAGATCGCGCTTGAAGGTTAGCCGACCCGGACACGGAATCGTCGGCCGGACGCCAGGCATCAAACGCAAATCCTTACCATTGTGATCCTAATTATATATACACCTAATATTATAATATATAACAATAGGATTAATATGTAATGCCGCTGGAACACGCCAGGCCCGTTTTATAGCTCTCGAGCTCTAATGTTTACCAGCAGCAGACCTTCGGGTCAGGGGTACACACCGGACCCACCAGGGGCACCAGGCACCAGGCCGCATGCAGTAACCCCAGATCGCGGAATTTTCCGACGCATGCGTCGACCCCAGCACGCGCACGCGCGCGCGCGCGCGCGCGTGACCGATCACTTTCATGTAAATTGTAAATAGTAGTGACGTGATACTTGACACAGTGGTTAGATTGGTTAGATGAAACGCAAAAGGGGCCTGTGAAACATTTTTCCGAAAATGTACATTGCATACATTCGTACTCTGTCATTATTGACACGTGTTATCTTCTTATAACGCTGTTCTTTTCAAGTGATGTGAGAAGAAACGAGAAGAAGTAATCGCTTGTTCTTTAAGAGAGGTGCGCATTATTTCTCTTACGTTTCCCATTGTGCATAATTTATCTGGATAAGTCTGTGTTATAGATATTAAGCAAAGTTTATCATATTGTTTGGATACGTCATCGCATCTTGTATTCTATAAGTCGATATTGTGTTTTTGTCACACTCAGTTCACCCATAGGCATCGTACATGTGTATATAACGATGTAACCGTTTCAGTTACAGAAACACTTAATTTTGATGGAATTGACTTGACTTCTGCATCACTATACGTACTTAATATTGACCGTATAGAGTTGGGAGATCTGATGGCAGATCTTAATGAGGAGGATGAGGAGTCCAAAAGAAGGACTTCTTTGTTACCCATCTTAACGGTACTACAAATTTTTATAATATGACAGTTATACGTATTAAAATCTAGCATCTAGTATATATATTTAAAAAAGCACGCATATTATTTTCTATGTTTTATCTTCTTTCAGAGAGAGAATATGCCTTCTTCTTCTTTACATTATAATGATATGAAGGGGATTAGTGTGTATAGCCAACCAATAGGCGAACATTCTCCTTTTTTTGCCTCCCTTGTCCAACAATTTGTAAAGAATGTTCTTAGCTTTAGTTCTCAGTACGGCGGCAGTAACAGCATATCTTACGCCGCTGCTAACATAATTGGGTCATACAGTAAGTTTCCAGAGTATGGAGATTTTCCACAGACGTTTGCCATGGTATGTATATATTTTCTGTCGTTATTCGTTATCAGCTTATAGAAAACAATCGTAACTTTTCTGACTTTTTTGAAATATGAATTTCCAAAATGGGTGATAATATACATACATGAGATGAGGGTTATTAGGATAGAATTTAGGACCCATCGCGTGCGATTCGATTATTTCCACATAGAGCCACATGTTATCTTAATAATAGCAATCTAATTTAATGCTACAAGATCTTATTAGTTTTGGCACTTTTCTGGCTTACTTTTTATTATAGAGAACTTATGGACCATGGTGGGACAAAGCACCTTCGAGATCAATCGATTATATGCCACAAAATAATATGGAGGTTGTGAGCCAAGATTATATTAGTACGTAATATTTGAATTTTGACAAATACGAGACAAAAGTAGATACGCTTTTGTTTAGAAGAGAATATATAATTATTTTTTCCTTCTTGAAGATGTTGAGTATGCTGTAGCTGTATACCCAATTAGAGTCTCTATATACGAAGTATATAATCCCGGGAGTGTAGTTCGAATTTGGGCTCAAGATCCTAACGATCGTTGGTTTCTATTGTGGAATGGACCGCCTCAGATTGTTCCTTCGACGTCACGGATGTTTTCCCCACCTTTACGGTCGTGTGATTTTAAAACTAAAACACTCAGACTGGAGTTTAACCACAGCTTATTGGACTATTACACAGAGCTAGATGCTGTACTGCTCATCGGAACAACAGAATTGATTCTTCCGAAAGATCAATCCCACAAACGGAGTATAACCAATTTATTAAAAAGCATCAATTGCAAGTATCCTTGCCGTTGGGACATACATAATTTAACGCCGGATTATGAAGATGCACACATGGATATAATTCATCTTAAGAAAACATTCGATGAACATTGTATTACATTGCCAAACATGTTTTGCGATAAAAGGTATTATAATTGTCAACATTAAATACAATACTCTTTTTTTTTTGTTAATAATGAACATAATTTTTACCAATGTCATTTCTAGTGGCAGAGTATTGAATCTCTACAAGAGCAAGCTAATATCTCAATTAGGACCACTTTATTACTATGTACCACCTCTTAAAGAGGGATCTAGTAGTATGCAACACTTTTTATCAGAAGAACTTTCAAAATTTACGAACAATCGAGTTTCTTTGGATGAATCCAAGAAGTCAACACATGGCAGTTTTTCCGTGCTTCCTGTAAAGTATTCTAAGAAATCTGTTTCTCATAATGACTTTATTGTAATGTCCTATTTATTGAGACTTTATATTTTACCTTTTCAGCATGAAATAATGATAAAAATATTAAGAAATTTAGACTTGATGTCGTTGTGTAATATGGGCAGAGTAAATAAATATTTCAATAATTTAGTACAAGACCCTCTGCTCTATAAAAGTTTGAATCTAAAGCCGTATTGGCATATTATTAGTACAAAGGCGTTGCACTATTTGGCATTCAAATGCAAATATTTGCGACGATTGGATCTTTCGTGGTGCGACAGCTTTTCTGTCTCGGATCTCGAAAAATTTCTTGACACTTGCGGTAGTCTCTTAACGCACTTACGATTAGATTGCTGCTCGTGTATTGACGACTCTGCCATGCTTAAAATTTCGACGGTATGCAAAAATTTGAATGGTATGTATATAAATATGATTACTATTGTTACATATGAATTATATATAACTAATACGTACATTTATTATTATTATTTTTTTTAGAATTGAGTCTACGTAATTGTGACTCGATAAAGGACCAAGGATTTTTGTGTCTTGAAAATCTTGAATCGCTGGAGCGTTTAGATCTTTATAGAACGCGGATAAAAACTCAAACTCTTTGCAAGATATTGCGAAAAAATCGACGGATGCGTCACTTACATATAGGAGGCACGGACAAGTATCTGAACGTAGATGAAGTTGCAATGGAATTAAGAAACTCGTGCCCAGATTTGGAGAGTATAGATTTATGGAAGGCACACACTCTTACATCACAAGGTATCGATGCCCTCGCTGACTGCAAGAATCTACGGGAAGTGGATTTTGGTTGGTGGTACGTGCGTGTGTCAGTTTTTTTGGAAATGCATGTTTCGTCATTTTACGCAGATTATGAATTTAAAATCTATGGGATCACGACGTGCGAATCTAAGATTTGCAAACTGCGAATCTGCTACTCTCATACAGAGCTACGTGTCCTCCCAGTTTTTTAATATACATATTACTATATTTTTTATTAAAATCTACGTTTCTCTCTTATGTATCTTGAAAGTGGTTGTGCTGTTTTTCTGTTTGCAGTGGCAGCACGACCGGTCATGGTGACAGCTTCCGTAGGTTGTTATCCTCCTGTGAACACCTGGAAAAGGTCTTTTTGGTTTCTTTTAGACAGCTGACCGAACGCGATTTGAGAGAACTGACGCTGTGCAAAAATTTAAAACAGTTGGACTTGTTAGGCTCGCTATACCTAACAACTGAGATATGTTATGCATTTTTCATAAATTGTCCTAAACTGGAGATGATTGATCTCAGCTTCTGTGACAACATTACCGACCGCTCGATTCAGCAGTGGCAGCAAATGTATCCGCATGTGGCCATCAAAAGATTAAAAAACAACGAATGATTAATGTAGAATTTTAAGGTTTAATGTAATAATGTAAAAGGTACCTTCAGAAAATTACATTTCCAAAAACTGCGCTAAGCGCACGTGACTGTTGAAAGAATAAAATAGATTTGCATATTTTACATTTAAATCTATTTTTTCTATAAAAGTAACGTTAAAAATTGTGAAATATTGAGAAATAAACATTTTTGCATAACGCAACTTTAATATCCGCATTCTTTTACATCTCATGAAATATAATCAAATTATATCTTGCACGTTTTACATACTATCGTCGATCGCTCAATTAAAACAAATTTTATTTAATCGTAAAATTAAAATAATCGTGTAAATTAAAATTGCAATTTCAAAAATGCGCTCTCCGCCGCTACTGACTACTGTCGAAGAAGACCAACCGAGATTGGACAAACAATAGGCATTGGCGGTCACAGTTTACATTGTTTACAGTATTCCTTGCGCTGTCTCACGACAAAACTGCCGGTATTGGGTGCATTCGGCAAGAAAAGCAGTTTAAATTGTGCAAGTTTTCGTATTATTTTGAATGCGATGTAGAAAATACAATATTACAAATGCTGCATTTCCAGATCGCATTGCGAGTTAGCACGGAAAATCGCATCGTATGCCGTTGATTAGTGATCTTTAACATGATTGGGCCTTATTTTTAGTTCCTCATTAATTTAACAAGTACAAACCAATCACGTTAAAGAATCACTATCAACGTCCACTAACGTTCACTATCAATGCGAATTAACTTTAATCTCGGTTTAATTCACTTTTTCATGTTTTTTTTTTTTTTAATTTTGAGAAATAAAAAAAAACAACTTGGCCCGAAATTAAAGTCTTACTTTGCAATTTTGCGTCGATAGAAATGGACATAAAGCCGCGCTCTTTTCGCGGCCATTGACGTCGCCTGGCGGCGACGACGCGAACGAGTGCGGGAACGACGGCTGGCCGATCACCGCGCCGCCGCCGCCAAGCGCGCATATGTGTGTGCGCCGTGTCGCGTGCGTGTGTGTCGTCGACACGACGGACGGACGAACGGGTGGACGTGTTAAAACGTGCGGAAAGTGGCCGAGAGCGGAGCGAGAGTTGCGCGAGTTATATCCCTGTGGCGACGCGGTCGCGCGACACCACGTACGTCGCCACGTATCGCGCGCGTACGATACGGGGACAACCGCGAGAGTTTACGTGTGAATGGGGAGAAGGAGCCACACGGCGGCCAGGTACAGGGCACAGGTACGGAACACCGTCCGTTGTCTCTCCCCCACCCTTCCCCTCCCCCTCGTGGAATTAGGTTACCGCGGCGCGGCGACGGGCGCCGGACGGATCCGGATTGATGCTGCGAGACAGTGGGCGAGGATGTACGCCGACAAGTGCGCGCCGTGACCGCGGCGAGGGAAGTGTCCCGCGAGTTCGCTCGTACGTTTAATTCACGTCTCTGATACACGCGCGCTCGCGTGTGTGTATGCGTGAGTTTGAGGGTGAGTGTGAGCGGGAGTGTGTGTGTGTGTATGTGTGTGAGTGGGAGAGTGAGTGTGTGTGTACACGCGCGCGCGCGCTCGCTCGCGTCGCGGCGTCTGTGCTGGATCTCGGATCTTCCGTGTCTTTCTCTTTCTCCCTGTGTCTCCCTCTTTCGCTCTTTCTCTCCCTCTCTCTCTGTCTCTCTGTCCATGTCTCCCTTTCTCTACACGATTTTCCGTGCGTGTGCGATCGTTTCTCGGACGTCTCTCGATGCTGCACGAAGGCAGTAGTGGCAGCGGCGGCGGCAATCGAAGGGCTATCCCGGCTATCGCCGTCATCGTCGTGTTGTGTCAACGTAACCCACGGCAGCGGCAGCGGCATCGCCACCACCACCACCACCACCACCATCGCCAGCACCACCACCGACGCCTCTTCAGTAATTAAACCAAACAAAATGGACACCGAGATAACGATTGAGCGAACCTCCGTGTCCTTCCGTTCCTTCCCCCCCTCTCTCCCCCCCCGGCCCTGTCGTCCCCCCGCCGTCTACCTGGGTTTTTCTTGTTTTCTTTAGATGGACTTCGGAAAAAGAGATGGGATCGCCGTTCGCACAATTGTGAGTCCTGCTCTATATCGATCATTGTACACCGAAAGTAAATCGTCGATTCTTCACCCGCAAAGCGACGTGATTCCGCACGCACGATGCACGGCACCGGTTGTATCTCCAAATACTCCAGTTACTCCAGATACTCCAGTTACTCCAGATCTGTGTTCTCCACGTCTCGCTTTCTTGGCAACTTTTTTTCTCTTCTTTTCTTCCCTCCGTATACCGATATCTGTGTGCAACGTTCTAACGCCGCTCCTCACCTCGGTCACGAGAAGTGTAACGCGGCGCGGCTAAGAGGAGCGGATTTCCCAAAGAATTCGTCCCTCGACGGCCGGTCGGCATGCGACGATTTGTCTCTCCCGTTCGGACACGCGAATCGCCCAGCTGCACGTTTCTCCAGTACAGTTCTCTCCGCGGAGCTGCGATAATTAAGATAACCGTAGGGGTGATCATGTCGTTTGAGTTCCCTTTCTATTTGTTACACGTATAAGTACCGAGTTTGTTGGAACGCAGGCATTCGTTAAGTATAGGCGCAAAGCGTGATGTTTGATTTGATCCTTTTTAAAGGGATCGCGCACGACCGCTGTGCGTGTATATGCGTGTGTGATAGCATGATTATTCCAATAATATTATATACTTTGTCATTGAAATGCACGTATCAACGAAATCCTGAAATGCATGCTTCTCGAGGGATTCTCCTACTGTCTCCTACCGTCCGTCCGCGAGCGGTGATTCCTTTTTCCTAGAATCCTGGAAGTAGAGAAAGTAGGGTGTAAAATCTGCTTGACGCATCTGGACAAGACAAACGAGGATGCGTTTCTAACGAATTGCCGTTAGAACGGTCGTTTCGGAGTATTTCGTGTGTTTCGAGTTTCTCTCTCCGAAGAAAAAAAAAAGAAATAGGGAAGTAAATCAAGTACACACAAATAACGGTTTATTTCGCCGCCGGGGGATCTGTCTCGTCTGTTAAATTCCAGATTAGTCGTGGCTCGAATGCCGCGGGAATGCACAGCCTTCGGATCCGGGGGATCGAGACTCGACGGCGCGGCGCGGCGTCTCCTCGACATTCGTTCTCGCCCTCGCCCTTGTCCGTCGCTCCCGTTTTCCCGGTCGCCGTCGTTGTTCCGTTCGCGCGCACGGCTGCCATTTGAGCGCGTATACGGAAAACACATCGGGAGACGTATTTCGAATCGATACCTGCGGAATACGATTGGTTAATCGAATATCCTACGCGCGCGGCTATCGGACTTTATGTAAGCTAAAATCTGATTGGTCCTCTTTCTCGTGTAATTTCGACTCCTGTCTCGCCGCTACCAATTGCGCGGTGCGCCTTTACCCGCGATATTGAATACCCGCGACGCGTTGCCAGTGCGACTCCAGTCCGTATAGCGTTGTTCTCCGGCCGTCTTTCTCCCCCTTCCTCCCTCCTTTCTCCATCTCACTCTTTCTCTCTCTTTCTTTCTGCCTCTCCGTCTCCCGCACCGTTATTGCCTATCCTTTCACTAAATTCGCATGACTCCGTATACACGCACGCACGCACGTACGTACACACCACACACGTATGCACACGGATCCATAAATCTGCCCGTTGGAAAGAGAGCATCCAGCACTATGCGAGCCTTGTTTCCATTTTTCTTCGCGTTTCCGACAAGCCATAATTAAAATTTCTCATTGGCGTGTCGCGAATTTGATTGTCATCGCATGCCGTTTTGTCCGTTACTGTGTTTTGTGCTGGTTAATCATAATACTTAATTATTAACAACTACGATCCTAAACGAGATACTTGGAAACTATTTCGGCGACACGCGTACGCTCCTGTTTTTGCGTTTAATTCTCATAACTATTTTTATACGCGATTCTGGCGAGAATGCATATCTTCCGAAGCTTCTTTTTTCCAGTATTACAAGGCGCCGGACGCAGCGGAACACGATTACGGGATTAGAATTCAGATCTGTCTTCCAAATCGCGAAGAAGTACGAGAAAAGTTTAAACGCCGGCAAGACTTGAAATTATCGCCGGTTGCCGCATGCTTCTGGTTTTCGATTTAATTCGCTCGCGATATCGATAGTAAATCGAACAATCTGACGTTAGCTTCGAGTGACAGGAGGAGCGAGAAGCCGCGCGCATAAAATTCGCCTCGGACGATCCGCACGTCGCGCGTCGTGTCAGAATTCGGGGGGTCATAGAACTTCGTTTACAGTTCCACCGTGTCGCGTAACGTTTGAAGAATCAGAGAACACGTATGGAATAATTATCAAAACGTTCGCACGTAAGAACGCGCGGAACGCAACCGAAGCTGTCAGTCGTCAGTCGCGTTCCATCCCGAGATTCCGCATCTGTCGAGAATTCGTCAGGCCGTCTGAGGTAGGCCTAAGGGACGATTCTCAATACGATCGCCGATAGGATGCGGTCCGACACGCGCGGTGCGTGCGCGCGCGCGCGCGTGCGTGTGTCCGTGTGAGAAAAGTCAGATGTTTTCCGTCGCGTCTGTCTTCTAAAAGGTATCGCCGGACAATTAACGTTGGAAAAACGGCGGCATCGCAGCCGGCGACGTGTGCGCGATAAGAAAGGGACGCGAGGAAGGGACGACAGGTCCCCGTTCTTTTCGAATCCGCATGACACTGCTCCCTGCTGCGGTCAAAGTGAAAACAAATCGTGCCGTAATTAGACAGCGTGAAGAACGGAAAATCTCTCGGAGGAGATCCTCGATTGATGAATGGCGGTAGAACACCGAAATAGTTCCCGTAACTTTTCTCCCGTTCCTTTGGAGCTTCACTTCTTCTCCCTCCGCTTCCACTCGGAAGTTTACGCATCGTGTTCATTCTCAAATTCGAGAAGTGTCAAAAGGGGCGCAGGTAAAGCGAGCGGAGCTAACGGACCCTGTCGGGTCGGTCCGTCCGTTTTGATCCGCGCTTCCTATCTTCCGTCTCTCTCTGTCTTTCTCTCTCTCTCTCTCTCTCTCTCTCTCTTTCTCGGAGCGTAGCCCGGAGAAAGATATATTCATTTCGCTTCGAATGCAGAATACGCAGGTAAAACAGGACCTAAAACAATTTACGAGTACACTCCTCGGCTGCCGTGTGTGTGTGCGCGCGCGCGCGTGGCGGAGAGAGGGGGGGGGCAAACGCGACACATACGAGTACACAACACCGGGCCGAGAGCCGGCGAACGAACCAGCGATACGAATGCACGTCTCTGCACACAACGATACAGCGTGCGCGCGAGCGCGCAAGAGAGAAAGAGCGAGAGAGAGAGAGAGAGTGATGAGGGAGTGGGAGGGAGGGAGAGTGAGAGAGAAAAAAGAGAGGAGGTCGGGAGATGCGCACGCCGCCAGGTGGTGCGCCGAGCGAGAGCGGTGTGCGCGGCGCGGCGCGGCGGCCTGGTGCCGTCGCCGCTCGTGTGCCCGCTGCCCGCCTGCGCGCTAGAGGTGCTCGCTCTCTCGTCCGCAACACACCGGCGCGGCGACGCACTCCGGGAAGCGAAGCGAGCGCGTTTTACTTGCGGGGAAAATAGTGGTAGTGTAGTTGTAGCGTGGTATGGTGGCGGCCTCCTCCACCTCCTCCTCCGCCTTCTCCTCTTTCTCTCTCTTGCCGTCCTGGAACGGGGTATAAGCGAGAACGGAGAGGAGCAGTTCTCCGCGCAGTGGTGGGGAGGGAGACGAGGCGAGTGAGTGAGTGAAGGAGTGAGAGAGATGCATATGTATGTATATGTACACATACGCGTGTAGATCTGTGTGTGTGTGGAATGATTCGAGCCTGCGGGACACGCTTGCACCTCGATGATCCGCACCGCCGCCGCCGTCGCTGGCCGCAGCAGCCACCGTCAGTGAAAATCGCGTCAACGCACGCACGCACGACGTACGCACGTACGTATATGTATCTATGTGTGTATATGTATACGTGAGCGCGCGCGCGCGCGCTTGTGAACAGACAGACAGACAGACGGACAAGGGTGGTTTTCTGACGAAACGCCGCTGGTAGCGTGCAGCGGCGCGTCCTTAGCCGCGAGATACGCCACGAGACGGTACCCGGAGCGAAGCGAACGGTGTTACTCCTCTCATCTGGTTAGCTTTACGCTCGCTCGCCGCCGCCGCTGCCGCCGTCGCCGCTGCAAAAAAGTGCCTGCCCACCGCTGGAAAAGAGTACTACTGTGCGGGCAGAGAGACGGTGCGACGCGGAGTGACGCGCTGCCGCCCGATGTCGGGAATATCGAGCGTCGCGGTGGCCGCGCGATAACGACGAATTCTCTCTCGCGGCAGCGGCGGCGGCCCCGAACGGAAATCTCTCTCTCTCTCGCTCTTCCCCGCGTCGTCCCTCGCTCCCTCTCTCTTCCGCGATAATGGCGTACTTTCCGTAGTCATCGGGCCCGTCGTTTTTCTCATTCGCTCTTTCTCTCTCTCTCGCTCTTTCTCTATCTCTTTCTTTCTACCGTTTCGTCGCCGTCGTCGCCACCGTTGCCGTCATCATCGATGTGTCGACGACGCGAGTGACCCGACGACGACGACGACGACGACGACGCTGCTCTCACGTGAGAGACTCGTTTCTCGCCGCGACGCCGATTTCAGCGTATGCCATAACCCCGCGAGAAGCCGCCGCGCACAGGCGGCTTCCTACTTTACGCGCCGTAAAGACGCGACGATGAAATACGGCCGCGAGCGTGAACTGCTGCCGCGGTGAAGGAGAGAGAGAGAGAAAGAGAGAAAGTATATAGAGAGTCTCTCCCTTTTTTTCTTCTTACCACCGTTCGTTCGCTCGTTCGATGCAGTTTCGACCGCTCGCTCGCTCATTCGTTCGTCGCTCGCTCGCTCGCTCTCGCTGTCTCGCTCACTCGCGCTCACGCACACATCGAGCGAGTGTATTTTTGTTCGTTTTCCGACGAGACACGAGAACGTTCTCCTCTTTCTCTCTCTCTCTCATTCTTTCCCTTGCTCCCCCCACTGTCGCGCGTCGTGCTGTATTTGTCAGTGTGTATCAAGCCTGTACGTTGCCCCAATTTTTTTGTTTTATCCATTTTATTCTCTCTCACTCTTTCTCTCTCCCCCCGGCGTTCGCCGCTCCGTTTTATTCGACGTCGTCGATCGATCGGCGATATCGTTCGCCGATTTTCGTCCCGCGGAACGTTTATTTCACGGAACGACGGCAATGCCATATTGTTGCACGTAGAGGAAACCGCGGGTATTGTTCGCTCGCGCCGTCGATCTCGCGGTCTGTCATCGTTTCGGTAAAAGTTGGGCACCGCCGTGCGCGATATCGTACCCTCTCTTTCTTTCTCGACCCCGCGCGTCTTCGATTTCAATTCCTTCAGGCTTACCGAGGGTGTTACTCCACAATAAATTTCATCATTCGTTATCGAAAAAAAAAAGAAAGACCGCCGACAGCAGCTCGCCGAAAACGCTCGCGCTGAAAAACCCCGCGGTACCGTGCGTGCGTGGGTCGCATGCTCGTCGCGTGTCCCGCGAGGGACGACGGATGATTCATCGTTAAATCGTTAGACAGAATTGGGTGGTTTTACGCGGATATATATATAAATTCGTCGACGAGGATGTCGACTTATTTGCGCGCGACTCCGCGCCGGAAAAAGAATAGCGCTCCCGGCGCGGCGGACTGTGGAGTGCCGCCGTCGTCTTGCGTCGCGTCGTACAGCGCTTTTCATTTCGCCCCGCTGTCCGCGGCGAGTCTAATGACGCCCCTCCCCTCTCTCCCTCCGTCTTCCCCGCCGGCGCGCTCCTCTCCGAGAAACCTCGATATTTCATTCATGACTTTCGTGGAAATTATTACGTTCGCGACTCCGTCGGAATCGAACGGCACCCGGGATACGCGAGGGGCCGTAAACGCAGAAACGGCCTTTTCCGCGAGCATCTCGGTGCGTCCAAGTTCGCAATTTGTTCGTTCGCGAAAACGCTCCCGCGGGAAGATGGCACGTATCGTGTCGATTACGGCGCAACATATCGTCCTCGAATTCCGCTTTTACGTTATTCATGCGCCTTTATTTACATATACGTAGCTTTTATTTTCTTTCCCTCCTTGATCGATGTTCCTCGTGCCCAGTAGAATCGTCGTGAATGTCTTCTTAGTACATACGGAATAACGACGTGTAATTCTCGATGTAAAAATATGGCCAGATGTCGCAAGCTGGGATGTATTCCGAGGGGGAAAAGTTATGGCGATTATGAGGAATTGAACCATAAGCGTATAGCTTTTCCCCTTTGGCGTACGTCGCTTTTCAACGAATCGATATAGACGTCTTGTATCGTGTTACGTACATATAAGAACACGGAAACTTGGAAGAGTATCGAGGGTATGTAAAATTTGCTTGATTGTTTCAGACAGCAAGAGCTTGGGTTTACCATGGGCACGTTACTGGCTATAAAAGAGATCGTACAATATTCTCCTAAGCCTGAAATGGGGACGAGGAGTCTTTCAGCGTAGACATGGACTACGATCTGTTTGGTGAAGATGTCAGTGGCTCGATGCTCGAGGCTCTTCCTGATCTCGGAGGGAACGATCACTTCGATCCTGCGCCTGCGAATAATTCCGTAGCGGTGTCCAGAGACGGTCTGAATTCTGGCCCTAATGGAGGAGGGAGTTACATTAGCCAATCCTATAACATTTCTCAAGAATCTCCAATACAAAAATTAACCTCATTCGGCGGATCTGAATTTGGTGGCTCGAATCACGTGCAAAATCCGTCACAGCGCAGCATGTTCAACCAAAATCTCGGTACGTTCGATAATAGCGCCACCCCTCAGCGTGCTATGGTGCCGGGGGCGTTTCAAAATCAGACTCGCAACATTGCACCGCAGCAGCACAGGGGACCTCATCCGGGTAGCGCTGGTCAGTATCCTAGCTACAATGACAATATGTATTCTATGGAGCAGCAACACTCGATGGCTAGAGCCAACATGAGTATGGATCCCAGCCAACAAGGTTGGCCGGGTAACGGAAGTGGTTATCCACAAATGCAGAGGCATTACAATCAGATGGCTCCGCAGCCTGCCACGTACAGGCAACACATGCCGCCACAGTATTCTCATCAGCAAGATCAAGCTGGCGTTATCAATCAAAAGATGCAGCAGCAGCAGCAGCAGCAGCAGCAACAACAACAGCAGCAGCAGCAGCAGCAGCAGCATTTTGGTCAACAGGGGATGATTGGCAACATGGGAGTTTTGCATCAATCGATGCAACCCGGCGCGACTGCCGGTGTCTATCAGCACATGGTTGGGCAGCAGCAACATTATCAGCAAGGCAATTCGGTAGCGGCGATGTATCAAACGTCTCCCGGTTATCCTGGTTTTGCTTCGGCGATTCATCAGCAGCAGCAGGCCCAACAACCACCTCAGGCGAGAATGCCGCATCATCACCCGCCGCACCCGACTCATCAACCGCATCCGTCTCATCCTCAACAATATCCGCAGCATACTCCTCAACACCCGAACGCGCAGCAACAACCGACGATGGATCCTCAGTATCCCCATCATGCCACATCGATGTTTAATCAGCCACAACATTCGGCGCCACCGCAGCAACAGTTTGGCACAGCACCGGCTAAGCACGCGACGAGTCCACAGTATCGCGCTGCATTTCCGCAGTTATCGCCACAAATGTCGCCGCGACCGCAGATGTCTCCGCGTCCGCCGGCGGTACAACAGCAGATGTCACCCCGACCTATCATGTCGCCCGCCAAACCCACTACGTTGTCGCCGCATCCTCACGTTCAGCTTCCTCATCAGCAGGGCAATCAGGCTAACGCAATGTCGGTGTCACCGTGTCCGCCCACACCTATGCAAATGAATCCATCATCGCAGCAACAGCAGACTACTTTGCAGGCTCTCGAACAGATGGTGATGCCGGGAGTCGCCGTGTCGAACTCCAGCGTTCCCGCTCCGGATCAGTATAATCAGTTCCAAACACGTCCGCCAATGTCGCAGACACCGAGTGTTCTGCCGCAGCAACCGCCGCCGCAGAGTCCGATGCCAGGTCAAGTTACGGGACCCAGAATGCCGATGCCCGCTCAATGGCAATCGCACCCGCAACAGCAACAACAACAGCAGCAACCGCAACAGTCGCAAATTAGGCCAAGTATCGGTGTCAACGAAGAAAGAGGTGGCATAGTGGAGCAGCCTCAGCAGGCGCCGATAGTATCCGAGCAGAGTGCTCCGATGTTCCCCGTCGCTGGACCGGAGACTACTGTTCATAACGTTGTAGAAACAGCGACAACGACGAGCACAACGACAACGAGAGAGCCGACGACGACGACGACGACGGAAAACGTCGTACAGAACCCGATTGAAACCCCGAAACAACCAGAACCCGAGCCTTCTTTGCATCAGAGCGCTCAGCAGAATCAGCAACCGGACGCAACGGTGCAACTCGGTCCATCGCAAGTAGATACATCGGCACAAAATAATTCGCAGAGCAATTTACCCTTAGATCATACATCTACGGTAGGAAATATACCTACATCGACGAGTATATCTTCAATTGAAACGGTGCAGTCTCTTCCTGCGTCCAGCACGAGTGGCAATGTGGAGTGCACAAATGTGACCACGTCATTACAACAACAGCAGCAGCAACAACAAGCAGTTGCTGCACCGATTCAAAATCCCGTTTCTAGTATTGAGAATCAGAGTGTATGCGAAACGAAACCACAAGAACAAAGTATGGAAGTGCATCAACCGTCATTGAATAGTACCACGCATCCGCAACAAGCTATAGGACAGCAACCGCAACATACTCAACAACAACCTATCAATTGTCCTCTACAGCAGCCAGTGCAGCAACCGGTACAGCAATCGGTGCAGCAACCAGTGCAACAGCTTCACATGGCTCAGTCACAGATAGTCCAGCCTCAGTCAACGATACCGCCTCCTCAGCCGCAATTACAATCACCACAACAGTCTCAGATGAATCAGTCACAACCTGTTCAAATAAACCAGCAATTGCAACCACAGCAGCAAATACCTCAATCGCAGCCACCACAACAACAGCAACAGCAATTGCAACAAATTGCGCCCACTCAACAGCCGCAAATTCCTCAGTCCCAACAACCCGTATTGAGCCAAGCACAGCCGGTACAGCCTCAACAAATTCCGCCAGCGCCTCAGCCCCAATTGGGACCAGCACAGCCTCAATTAGGACAAGCACCGCCTCAATTGGGACAACCGCAGCCTCAATTAGGGCAACCGCAGTCTCAACTGGGACAGCCGCAAGCACAATTAGCGCAACCGCAGCCACAGTTAGCGCAATCAGTGCCTCAGCAGGGCCCAACTTGCGTTACGCAGCAGGCGCAATCGACGACGGCGACACCGCCACAGACGCAGCCATCTCATATACAACCTCAGCAGGTTGGAATGATGCCGCAGGGAGCCGCGCTGATACCACCTCAGATACCGCCGCAAATGCAAACGCAGCCGATACAAAATCCAACGTCCCAGATGCAGAATCAGAACGCTCAGGTGCCGCCCGGTCATTTAAACGCACAACAGATACCCGCAGTCAGTCAAACTACCAGTATGGTGTTACCGCCGCATCAAACTGCAGTTCCCGTGCCAAATTCACAAACTCCACATCAGGTATTATCAATATCATCAAAGAATATAATATTTTAATATAGTAATGTTATTTAAAGTATTTTGTAATAAAGTATACATCTGTGATATATATTATTCATGTAATCAGTTTTATGGTAATGTACTTTTTACTGATATCAATTATTTTCGAATAACAGTACCATCCTGGGGGCGACATGATCACCGGTAACACAATGCCGAACATGTACAGCATGCCGAGTAATCCTACACAAACTCCGGTCGCAGCTGGCGGTTTCGGCACGTCTTGTGCGCCGCTTACGCATCATCAAGAGCGAGCTGCGTTACAACAGCAGTTGCAGGAATTGTACTGCATGCCGCCGGCACCGGAAAATCAGGAAAAGATTGTCGCCTTGCAAGAGAAGTTGCAGGCGTTGCAGCAGCACGAGACAAATGATCAATGTAACGGTGGTCCGCAGTGTATACTACAAACACCGATGTTTACAGCTGCTGTAGTTGATAGTCCACAGGTACGTGAACACATGATTGATTGGTAGTTTTGCACAAGATTAATCGAAAAGTATTTTTCCAAATTTTTATATAACAAAAAGAAACGAATCAAATTTACGAGAGAAATTTTTCATAGTTAACATATTATGAGAAGAATATAAATAATGCAACATAAATATACATTTTGAAATAAGTATGACACAAAACAATCTCGGTTTTTTACTTTGTTTACTTTGGATTGTGTATTTAAAAACAACTAAAGTGTATGATTTCCTTGTCAAGAGATGAGCATGATATTAAGTGTTTAAAAGAAATATTTTGTTTAGAATATCTCAAATTACTAATAATAGTTTTTCCAATGCGATAAAAATACCATTTACTAAATCGGAGTAACTTAACATGAAATTGAAGAAAATTAATAAAGTCACTATTAAATCGGAGTAACTCAATATGAAATTGAAAATTGATAAAGTCATGTGTGTCATGCGAGATTACACATAATAAACATACATTTGAACGTTATATCTTTGTAATTTTTATTTGTGCGTATATTGCGGCTTCTATTTGAAAAAATCATTTGTTATCTATCAAATATTATATAAAAATAGGTCTCCAGTACTACCGGCCGCGGTCGCAGTAAAGGTACGCCGCGAACAAAGAAAAGTCGTAAAAAAGCAGATAAAGAGGCATCTGCGCCTACCACTGCCACTCAGCAACCTGAGCAACCTTTATCGGACAATAAAGTCACTCCAGGTGATAGCAGCAATATAGTAGACAGTGCTGCAGATTCGGAAGATATTAAGCCGTCTTCCGGGGATATGGAGGAAGAATGGAATAAGGGTAGAAAATCACGATCGCCTCGAAAACCACGCAAACCGAAGGAACCTAAAGAGCCCAAAGAGCCGAAACCTAAGAAGGAACCAAAACCACCCAAGGAACCGAAATCGCCAAAAGTGGCGAGAAAGAGGAATAAGGATAAAGACAAAGACAAAGAATCCACAAAGCGTAACAGGAAGTAAGTATGAAGAGAATGTATATTATTCGTATATTATTCGTATGTTATAACATAGTGTTATATGTACTATTATTTTTATAGAAAAACTAACCAATCTGAGTCCGCTGATGATGAAGTCGTACGCGAAAACGAAGAAACTACCGTTACGGATTCCAGTGCCGTTAAGGACGCCGAGACGAAGGTCTGTGAATCGTCCATACAGGGTGATCAGGAGCAAGTGGATTCTTCCACCAATGAACCTTTATTATCCGACGTAAAGGAAGAAGGCAAGGAGAAAACTGGGACGGAGGATGTTACGGAAGGAGAAAAGAAAGAGGAAAACTCAGAAGCGACTACTGCAACCACTGAAAATTCGAGCGGCGGTAAAAAGAAATCTGCAGCTAGGAAACGATCGAGTACCGGCAAATCATCTGGAGGGAAAAGTTCTAGAAGTTCTAAGTAAGTAATAACATTGTTTTATTGCTCACAAATATTTCATAATGATTAGCACATACAAATTACTATTAAACTTTATTATTTTTCACAGAAAACGCAAGAGTCGCATTGCTCCTGATTCTGACGGCGAGGAACTAGCGGCAACGCCTCCGCCATCACCGGAAGCTGGTGACGATGTAAATAAGCGGCGTTCCGCAAGAAACACTCATCGCAAGAAGTACGTAGACGACGTGATGTTACGATTCTCTGACGATGATGTTCCTATGCAAGAAGCTCAACTCTCGAAAAAAGTGGAAGGTGCAAACGCTTCAAAGCCTGCTGCCGCTAAGAAGGAAGGTGGTGAGGGCGGCGAAGTCGGGCCTAACAAACCCAACTTCGTATACATTGTATGTATCTTTTAGATTGCTAAGTTCTTTCAAGGCTTCTGTAAAGATTGTTTCAACATTCTCTTTAATTCTATTTTTCTATTTTGTAGAACACTACGGATGAGGATTCTATGGTTGTGCAACATATTTTATGCTCTCGAATGGGAAAGAGAGAAGTTAAGCCCGTGATACCCAAGGTAGAAGCGTCTCCGGAAAAGAATGGAGACGCGGATAAAGAAGAATCTGCTGAGAACAAAGATGCGACATCTGATGATTCCGTGAAAAAAGAAAGTACGGAAGATACCGAGCAAGAAGCGAAGACTGAAGATGCAACCGAAATTGAAGAAAAGAGTGAAACTGATGGGGTGAAAAAGGAGGATGCAAAGAAACCGGAAGAACCTCCTACGGATTCAAAACCAGCCGTTGTCGAGGCTACCGCTGTTGTCGAGACGAAGCCACAGTTTATCGAAGTAGAGGAATATTTTGTTAAATATCGAAATTTTTCGTATTTGCATTGCGAGTGGAGAACGGAAGAGGAAATGTATAAAGGAGATAAGCGTATCCAAGCTAAACTGAAAAGATTCAAGCAGAAGCAACAACAAAACACCAATATTTTCGAAAATGTACTTAATGTTTGTTATCTTAACTTATGAATATGTAATATACTAGTATAATATAATGATTGCGCGTGTTAAAGATCAACATAAAACACTTAACACCTTTCTATTTTACGAAAATCTTTTTTTTTTCTTTTTTAGCCCGAAGATGATCCCTTCAATCCAGATTTTGTCGAAGTTGATCGGGTCTTAGATGAAGCAACTCACACAGATCCGACTACTGGAGAAACGGTTCGACACTTCTTGGTCAAATGGCGATCTCTGCAGTACGAAGACTCTACTTGGGAATTAGAAGAAGACGTTGATCCCGAGAAAATAGCCCAATTCGTAAAATTCAATAAGGTGCCCCCAAAGGAACAGTGGAAGGTATATTCTATATATTAATTTTTACTTACATTTTAAACAAAACTTAAGATTGCATATATTCGAATTTATTGTTTTATTTATCTTCTATATAAATTCATATATAATCCTTGTGCTGTGTGTTCCAGCCGAAAAAAAAGCCGAATGCTACAGCCTGGGTGAAGTTAGAAGAATCACCAGTTTACAAGAATAATAACATTTTAAGACCATATCAATTGGAAGGGTTGAACTGGCTGCTATTTTCATGGTACAACGGACACAATTGTATTCTCGCCGATGAGATGGGCTTGGGAAAGACGATTCAGTCTCTGACATTCGTGGATGCGGTCTACAAGTACGGAATTCGCGGACCATTCTTGATCATAGCTCCGTTGTCGACCATTCCAAATTGGCAGCGAGAATTTGAAAGCTGGACCGACATGAACGTCGTGGTATATCACGGATCGTAAGTATATTAAAGCAATTTTATTTATATGCAAAGACAGACTGAATTGTCACTGATACAAATTTAAATTACAGTGCGGCGAGTCGTACCATGCTTCAGGAATACGAAGTTTATTACAAGAACGAAAAGGGACAGCAAATCAAAGATTTAGTAAAATTCAACGTGTTGATAACGACGTTTGAGATCATTATAACAGACTTTAATGAGCTACGTGGATACAATTGGAGACTCTGCGTCATAGACGAAGCTCATCGATTAAAGAACCGAAATTGTAAGCTTCTCGAAGGTCTCAGACAATTGAACCTGGAGCACAGAGTACTTTTGTCGGGTACACCGTTGCAAAATAACGTTAACGAGCTATTTTCTTTGTTGAATTTCCTCGAACCGCAACAGTTTGCGAGTAACGAAGCATTCCTGAAGGAATTCGGTAATCTGAGCAGCGAAGGCGAAGTGCAAAAGCTGCAACTTCTCTTGAAACCGATGATGCTACGTCGTTTGAAGGAAGATGTAGAGAAATCGCTGGCGCCAAAGGAGGAGACCGTCGTCGAGGTGGAACTGACTAACATACAAAAGAAGTATTACCGCGGCATTCTCGAGAGAAACTTCTCGTTTCTCGCGAAGGGCACCACGTCGGCCAACATTCCGAATCTCATGAACACGATGATGGAATTGAGGAAGTGTTGCATCCATCCGTTCCTGTTAAATGGTGCCGAGGATCAGATACAGTTGGATTACAAGACCGGCGAGAAAGAAGATTCCGAGGCGTATTTTCACGCCCTGGTGAACAGCTCCGGAAAGATGGTCCTGATCGACAAGTTGCTGCCGAAACTGAAAGCCAGTGGTCATCGAGTCTTGGTATTTAGCCAGATGGTCAAGTGTCTGGATCTACTCGAAGATTATCTGTTGTATAAAAAGTATCCGTACGAAAGAATTGACGGTCGAATTCGTGGAAATCTGCGACAGGCCGCAATCGATCGTTACAGTAAACCCGATTCGGATCGGTTTGTCTTCTTGCTCTGCACTAAAGCAGGTGGACTCGGCATTAATCTAACTGCAGCTGACACAGTCATCATTTACGACAGCGATTGGAATCCGCAGAATGATTTACAGGCTCAAGCTCGTTGTCATCGAATTGGGCAGCAGAAGATGGTCAAAGTGTATCGTTTGCTCTGCCGCAACACATACGAGCGAGAAATGTTCGACAAGGCATCTCTGAAGTTGGGGCTCGATAAAGCGATCCTGCAATCCATGAATACCAGTCAAGGTGGTAAAGATCCCAGCAATAAACAGTTGACAAAGAAGGAAATAGAAGATCTACTGAAGAAGGGCGCTTACGGCGCTATCATGGATGATGACAATGCAGGCGATAAGTTCTGCGAGGAGGATATTGAACAGATACTTGAGCGAAGAACTCAGATTATTACTATAGAAGCAGAAAAGGGCTCGACGTTTTCGAAGGCGAGCTTCGCATGCTCGTCGAACCGGTCGGACATCAACATAGATGATCCCGATTTCTGGAAGAAATGGGCGAAGAAGGCAGAGATTGATACTACGGAGAAGAAGGAGGAGGACGAGCTGGTGATATCCGAACCCCGGCGAAGGACGCAAATTAAGCGTTACGGTCACGACGAGTCGGTGGTTGATATGTCCGAATTAGACAGCTCGGACGAGAACAGCGATGACGACACGAGCATCGGCCTGTCCGGCAGGAGCAAGAAACGGCGCGACAAGTTCGGCAAGAAGACGCGCAAGTTTTATGACGAGTACGTGCCGCGCGAAGGCGAGGTGGTGTACGGCAGTTGGGCGCGCAGCGAATGTTTCAAGGTCGAGCGCGGACTGCTGACGTTCGGCTGGGGCCGCTGGGATGAGATTCTGCAGCACAGTCAGTTTCGTCGCGGTTGGCGCGAGGTCGACGTTGAGGATTGCGCTCGCGTCATTCTGCTTTACTGCCTACGCTATTATCGCGGCGACGAGAAGATCCGTAGCTTCATCTGGGATCTCATCACGCCCATCGAGAACGGCGAGAAGGTGAAGAGCGTCTCAGTGAACACCGGCGGCAGGAACAGTCGGCAGAAGAAGAAGGGCCGTGTCCGCGAGGGCCGAGAGACCCGGGGATCAGTCATCAACGGCGGACCGAGCGATCCCAATCATTGGAGCAACGCGGAGAAATTCGATGGGGACATCTTCCTCGAGAGCAACTACAGGAAGCATCTCAGCCGACACGCCAATAAGTAAATATAGATAGATGTAAATTGCGAGGTGTTTGAATACGATAGCGGGTTAAAGTCGGCTTACGCGAAATTTTTCTTCTAAATGGCAGTATTATGAACGATCGCGAGTATAAATATTCGTCTTTTTTTTGCTTTTCTGTTTTAATTGATTATTTTAAATCTCAAGCTTGTGTCTTTTTAATTACATAAAGCTGTTGAGTGCAATGACACATTGCTATTTATTCAATTCCTCAATCTTTTATTAATTCTTATTCGGAGAATTTGATCGATTATCTTTTATCTTACAGAGTACTGTTGCGTGTACGAATGTTGTATTACATCAAACACGAGATTATCGGCGACCTGGTCCAGCACATATCCGATGGCGTTCACGTCAGGTGAGTCCGCGCCGTTGTTCTCCTTTCACGCTTTTTCATACCATAGACTACCATTTATCACGAATTCGTGTATACTCACATATGTGCTTACCACGGAGCTTAGCATAGTTGCATGTGCGATGTATTTGTTGATATCCTGGGAGCTATACCTGTATGAGGAATGCTCATAGAGCCCGGATCCGCGTTGGTCCACGTAGCTCTGCAGAACAACTACCAAGTTCGTTTTTTTTTTTTACCCTACGCTACTAATATGAAATCGTTTTTATTTCCCATCCTGTATGCACGTATCAATACGTTAACATATATACACGTGCTCCCGCGAATCGCTACGAGAGAGAGAGACGCTCTTGGTAAAACTGTCGCGAGGATGATTGAATTTCTGCAACAGAGTGGTAAGCCATAGGACTTGTCGTTAAGTAGTGCACTGTAATCGAAGGGAGATAATCGGAAACGTGTGATTTTAAAATTTCGAAGAGGGGGAGGGGGGAATCCAGATATTTTGTGTGTAGTGTTGTATTATCTTTTTGAAATTTCGTACGAAAAAAAAATCCCGCGTTGCTGCGAAAGGAGACCTCCCTTGAAAGAGATCCCCTTGTAAATTTATTAACTAAAATTTTCCCTTTATTAAATTAATGAACACACACTGGTATCGGCACGCAAATAAATTGGCAAACTTTGTAAATTCGAAACCGCCCTGCAGTGCGTTGCCGATAGACCCTCCACAGTTGACGGAACGACCGGCGAAATGGTGGGACTCGACAGCAGATAAATCCTTAATAGTCGGCTGCTACAAACACGGCTATGAGAATTACGACCAGATGAGGACTGACCCCGCGCTTTCTTTCATTACAAGCTGTCCTCCCCCTTTCCAGAACTCTCAGAACAAGAGTACCGCCGAGTGAGTACCTTAGCATTTTTTTTCTTTATACTCGTTATTTGTTCATCTCTCTCTTTTCTCTCTTTCTTTCGTCTTCTTTATGCCCTGCCTAACTGTCCTAACACTTATGCCGCTTGCACCGCTTTCTATATATATTATTATATTATATATACGCTTGTACGGTCATAGCTTTTATTTTCAGCAATAGAATGGCGTATATAATGTTCACTTTAGTGACTTTAGCTTTCGCTCTTTAACGTTTTTCGATATCCTCTTCGCGGAACATTATAGACGTGTGACTGCTGTGCGCATACGGCAAAAATTACGAAGAAAGAGAATTCAATTGGAACTATGGCATTGAGAACATGGAACTACATCTTCTTTTCTGTCAGAAATACTTTATCGCATATGCGTATGAAAAAGCTGCGCGCATTAAAATAGATCATCTTATAACTTTGCTGCCTATCTATTTATAGCTGACGTTACGAAACATCGAGAGAGGCAACGATAAATTGAATCAATAGACACCATCCTCCTTTTTTCTAGTTCTCTTCATTTCACGGAACAAAATTTAGACGGGAATATCGTGTAAAATGATTTCAAAGTTTATTACATACGTACATGCGCAACGAACAAACGTCTTGTTTGTTTTATTGAAAGAGAACAACTGGAACATTAGACATTATCCTCATCCTGTGACTGTTACCAAAATTTCAGCAGCAGCAGCAGAGACGATAACAGTCTGGAGAACGATGTGGATGATGGCGAGTCTCCCGGAATGACGAAAGACTCGAAGGACTCTGACAAATTCAGCCGAGAAACACCGGCGGATTCCCCTGCTATCTCGAGTAAAGCGGATACGCCGATACCGGAGGCCAGCAGCAGTCATGATGGCAACGATGGTCTTCTCCCGGATGACGAGAAGACTTGGCCGTCTGTGGTAGATCTTAATACACGACTGCGTCGCGTGATATCCTCCTATCAACGAAGCGTTAATAAAAAGGAGGACATTAAAGTTATTCCGAAAGCCGGAAAGATGGGAATGGAGGGCGAAACCGCTTCTATAAATCATACCAGTATGATGCACGAACCGCCCTTGAATATGCAAGGATGGGATTTGCAACAATTAGCGATGTATCTCTTGGTCAGTGTATGTTTTTATTAGCATTAAACTCTATTATTCATTTTAAGCAACTGTGCGATATTTGAGCCTAATGTCGCATTCACAGAAGATGGAGAAAAGAGAAAAAATGGAGGCCATAGTGAAGGAACGTGAACGTACTCGTATCGAGGAACAAAAGGCGAAGTGGACCCGCCGCGAGGAGAGCGAGTTCTTGCGGGTGGTGTCTACGTACGGCGTCAATTACGACAGGAAGAAGGCCCAGTACGACTGGACCAAGTTCAAGAGTATCGCTCGATTTGACAAGAAGACGGACAACGATCTCACGGACTACTACATGTCGTTTAGAGCAATGTGCAAGAAAGTTTGCAACGCAAAATTGAACGAAGAGGAAGGTGCGTTCTTTCTAATATTTTGTTTACAAATCTATTCAATTATATTTATATAATTAATTATATAAATAATATTTATATAATTGAATATGATTTTTGGTTTTATGTGAAGTATTCTACTTAGTTGACGTTGCAGATTTTACAGATGTTCCAGTGGATCAGCTGAGTCCTGCCAAAGCAAGACAAATACTCGATCGCGTCGATCTCTTGAGCAAGATTCGCGAGGAGATCCTGTCGCATCCGCATCTCGAGGAACGACTTTCGTTGTGCCAACCCTCAGGAGATACGCCGGATTGGTGGCAGCCGGGGAAACACGACAAGGAATTGTTACTCGGAGCGGCGAAGCATGGTCTCGGGCGTACCGACATAACTATACTGAACGATCCGGACTTTTCGTTTCATAAGCTTCTTACGAGAGGAATGTATGCGAGCACACAGACTCCTAAAGTAATAGACAAATCCGAGAAAGCGATAAAGATCGAGAGTAGAGAAGATATTTTGAAGTTCGACAAGGACGAGATACTCGTGAAACTCGAGAAAGGCGAGGGAACTTTGAAGATTGAAAAAGTTGGGGCGAAAAAGGACAAAGACCAAAGTATTACCGATAAAAAGCCTGAAAACGCGGAGCCTGAGAAAAGCCAAGTGGAATTGACTATCGTCAAAACGGAGGCTAAACCCGAAGAGAAACCCATCAGTAGTTCGTTGACGATCACTACCGTTGCGAGAACGGATGTGGACAACGTCGTTGTAAAGAGCGAGGAGAAAAGCGAGTTAGCGATAGAGCCAGTTAAATGCGATAGTACCAAAGCCAATCAGACAGGCACTGCCAAGTCGGCCGATGAGACGACCGCGAAGGAGGCCAGTTCAGAGAGCGCGGAGAGTCCTGCTGTTGTAGAACTCGAGAAGGAGGACAAGGTTCAGGAAAAAGATGCTAAACATGAAGCCGAACCCGCCGAGAAACCGGACGAGTCGCAAGCGCAAGACGTCGCGACGGAAACAGTCGAAAAAAGTGAGGCAGAAATTAAGGAGACGGTCGAAAATGTCGAAAAGAGCGCTGAGACTACCGAGCCCGCTGTCGAAGATGATAATAATAAAACCGTAAAGCCGGATAACGCACCGGTTAAAGAAGAGGTCGAGACGCAAGAAACAAAAAGTTCGGACGTTACCAAGGAGAAAGCAGCAAAGGTTCCTCAGATCGAGGATAAGTGCAGCGTCCAGGCCGCGGAATTGAAGGCGATGTTCCCGGACCTAGAGGTGATAAAACCGTTGTTGGGGCGACTGCCGCAGATCGATACGTACGTTTTACGAGACAAACAGGCAGATTATAATAACGAACCTACAGTGATGCAACTCTTGGCGCACGGCTGCACTAATACATCAATAAAGTGGCCGAAGGTAAATTTCTTTATTAACTTTTGATATCTTATTTGTATTTGCGCGTTGATATAAAAATAAAAAGATAAAATATAATTTATTAAATATAAGAAAAAAGAAATTTTAATCTTTTTAAAAATTACTTTTGCTACACATAGCTTAGTGTATTTTATTATACATCTCGAATTTTATTATACTTATTGATTCGACTTTGCTTCTTAGGAGCACGCGATCGAAGCTCGTTTAATGCACATCGTGCACGCGATAGAACACAAAGAATGGCCGGTGTCGGTGAACTTCAGTGCCGGCGAGGAGCTGGAGCTTGCGCAAAACGAGAAGGAATGTTCAGAAGTGATAACAATCACTACGGATCATGGGGTGTCCAGATCTATAGCGAGTGGCAATAACATCTCTGCTTCAAAGAAACGCAAGAGGCATATCGCCATAGATGTAGAGACCGAGCGAGGTAATTTAAATTACTTATAAACTAATAACGCGGTCACACGTTTGATTATCATTATTAATAACTAAACATATTTATTGTGTACGATTATTTGCCTCGTTTATTTTACAGCCAAGCTTCACGCGCTTCTCAACAGCAGTCACTTAAGTGCGCCGTCGTCCGCACCTCTCAGTAAACCGGTTGTCCTCTCCGGCTCAACCACTTGGGAGATTAACGACGAATCTCAGTCCGAGGAATCGCGACGCTCCACGCCGGTTCAGCCACCCCCAGCGCACCAACAAACGCGAACGCCGAATATGCCCTTCGACTTGAAATACCCCGTTCCGGGCAAAACAACCGTTATACCTGGGACGTCGAGTACTTTGACGCCTATCGATCTATCCGCTGGGTAAGACATTCGATGAAATGTCTAATTATATAATTAATATTGTGAATGTCTGTATAGAAATATTACAATGATTATATTCATTTTAGATATCCGAAGTCAAGCTCTGATAGTAACAAGGACATGATGAACGAGGTACAAGACTTCTCTATGCCAAATAAGAATAAACAAGTCAGCAGCAATAAAGGGAAATTGGATAGTATGCTGGACAAACTCATGAAAAGGAAATCTTGCGTGAGTGCATTTTTTAAAGATACTCCCAAGTTTGCAGTTCTACATCCAGTTAAAACTGTTAAATATTTAATTCTTTTTATATTTCTCAACAGCCAACAGAGGAACCGGTGGTTGGGAAGGAAAAAAAGCGCAGGAAGTTGGATGAAATAGTGTTGGGATTGAGTGCCGCGAAGGAGCAACAGAGTGGTCATTATCTCGAGCACGGCAAGAAGAATACGATTACGCCCAACGTAACTGTCACTCCGACATCAGCGCCGATCGGTCTTCCCAACCCCCCAACCTCCAGTGTCCAGAAACCGTTCTCTATTACCGTTACATCGATTCCGTCTTCTCGAGCTTCGAGTTCCTCTACATCCGTTTTACCGCCGCCATCATTGCATTCGCACAAAGATACCTTCTCCGCTTTGCTGGCTCAGGCCGAACAGCAAAATCGTGAATTGAAGAAACAGCAGCAGCAACAGCAACAGCATCAACAGCAGCAACAGCAGCAGCAACAACAACAACAACAACAACAACAACAGCAGCAGCAGCAGCAGGCGTTCAATTCGGCGCACCCGTCTTCCTCGAGCAGCAGTCACCGAAAGAGTTACGAGGCAATGATCGCGGACATCAACAAAGTCGCCGAGTACTCGTCAAAGATCGGCTCATTTTCGCACGAGGCGAAGGTGAACAAGTGGCTGGCAGAGCAAAGTGCGATGTCGGAGCAATTGAGTGCAGAATATTTAAATGCCCCTCGACGACGCAGGCCGCGCGTCGATCCGTCCTTGTTGGATTGGAAGAAACTCACCGGTGAGGAGAATGTTGCTGTTATCAACCGATTAACTGGCAAGAAGGTACGCTAATTCAGAATTACACTCATTTTTAAATAGCAACAATGACAGATTTTTATTATATCTTGTGTGGACTCTAAAATTTGTGAAAATTGCCTTTCTATTAAGTCTAGATAAATTAAATAAATTAATTGAATTTTTTAGTAGGTACTACTGTTTAAAGTTTATATAATGTAAAAACTTTTATTTATATTAGTTAATTGTTATTTAGCATATTTTGATATGCTAACTATTCTGGAGTGATATACAACTTTTATTTATTTTACCATTATAGAACATCTATCGATAAAGAGTCTTATATTTCGAACAGTTTTAGACATATCGCTATCTTTTAAATATAATGTCTTTTTTAAATCAAACAATTGTAAAGATTTATAGAATTATTTATTTCCTATTACTTTTACGAAGAGAAAAGTTAAATCTTCTGAACTCTAAATTCGATTACTAAAGCTAAGTTTTTATTCTTTAGGTAACCGGAAGTAAAGCGCCTCAGTTGAAACGACTCGGAACATGGCTAATGGAGAACCCAATGTTCGATGTTGATCCGAAGTGGGCGGAACTTGTGAAGGAACGCGGCAATCTTCCGCATGATCTGCAGAAGAGACTATCGGGTAATGAGCGCAGCGGCGTGAATAAGGGCAAGAGTCCGGGCAGACCGCCCATGATGCCCAGCCCTACGAGTCAACAGTCTGCGAATACCGCTAATCTGGCGGCCACGTCAATGGCGTCTGGTCTCAACTTCCCGCTCGGCAATTTAAATAACTCTCTCTTGTCGGGCCTATCGCTCGGCAATTTCGACCCGAAGAATCCACTGCTGATGCCATTCGGCGGTCTGACGAACCTGGGCGCGCTTGGCGGCCTCGGTAACCTCGGCAACTTGGGCAACATGAGCCTAACGAATTCGCTGTTCGCCAATCTGGCCGGACTGGGTCTGCCGTCGTTAGCGGGCATGGAGGCGGCATTGAACGCTCAAGCAGCAACCAGCAGCGCGGCGGCGGCAGCGGCGGCGGCAGCTGCGGACGCGAATAATCCAATTGTGAGTTCAGCGGCTGGCAGTAGCAGCAAGAACACCTGCTCTTCGAGCATGAGCGGCAGTGGTGGAGGTGGCGGTGGTGGCAGTAGTAGTAAATCGCGCAGTAGCAAATTGGATCAGCCAACGACCAGCAAATCTTCGAGCGGTGGTCCGTCGACTTTGTCCGCTGTTTCGTCCGCGAGTATGCCGACTCCCTCACCGTTCCCATTTCTCTTCACGAATCCCAGCCTTCTCTACACGCCGCTAACCCTAAGCGGCCTGAATCCGTTCTCCATGCAGTCTAGCGGCGTGTCGTCGGCCTACGAGAGTCTCGCTCAATGTGGTCTGCTGAATCCACCGACATCTACCGCCTCCACGGTGCGCAAGCCCACCTCGTCTAGCAGTTCCTCTAGACAGCGTGAGGCCGCACCGGAATCCTCGACATCCTCGTCATCGTCGTCGTCGTCGACAACAAAACGGAAGGAGCCCGAGAAGAAGTCATCTAGATATCAGGTAGATCCAGCCGTGACTCTGCAACAATACACGGATATGGCGGCGTTGCACGGCAGTGAGGAGAGACGCCGCGCCGAGCAACAGCAGCAGCAACTGCAACAGCAACAGCAGTCGCAGTCGCAGCAGCAACACGAGAAGCGAGAAATAGCGATAACGGAACAGGCCGATGTGGTAGCGGCGGATCTGTCGGAGAAGAAGACCGAGCGGAAGAGCAAGGAGCAAGAGATGAAAGAGGCTCTGGAGCATCTAAGCAGGACTAGCGCCGAACTGGTTACGCGGAACATCGACGACGCTCCAAGATCCGAGAAGCCGTCCAGTAAAAACCGCAGCAGTACGGACAGCAATCAAAATTCTGACCAGCAGCATCAACAGCAACAACGATCGACGCCGTCGGCGCCACCGCCACTTGAGGTCACCTTGGAACCCGTTGCGAAAAAGGCCCGCATCGAAATGGACACGAGCACGAAATCGACCGCGTCGAGTAGCGAAGTGCCGACGGTGGAGATCGAAGCGGTCACGAGACCGTCGCCGACAACTCCGACGAAAGCAACGCAACAGCCCGCATCTTCGCAGGAGGAGGCATCCAGCGTCCCGTCCGTGGAAGCGAACACGGCCAAGAAGGATGCGAACGAAGCAACGACAACTACGACGTCGTCGTCGTCATCATCGTCGTCTACGAACGCGACGTCGCCATCGACGCAGAATACCGCCGGCGCGAAGAGCGACAGCGGTAAAGTCGCCGTTCCAGAAGCGGAGGAGGATGGCAAGGGCGGTACCAAGGCGGCGCCAAAGAAGGCACGTAGCGGCAAACGAATGAGCGTGGAACCACCGCCGGAGCGTAAGAATCTTCGTTCGAGCGCCGGTAGACAGGCTCGGGCGGCTGCGGAACGACAGGCGCGAATGGAGGGTGAGATGCAGCACTCCGAGCAGCAGCAGCAGCAGCAGCAGGACGGACACGTGGCCGGCGAGTGAGTCACGAGGTCTCGTCGGGCTGCTGTCGCGAAACGATAAGCACCGACAAACCACACCGAAAGCACCCTGACGGGCGATCCGACGGAAGGAACTCGATGGACCGGCCGCGGTCCACGTTTTCTTTTTCTACTCCCTGATTTGACACTGCTCGCACAACGAAGATCTGTATGTAGATAATTCCCTGTTCGACGCTAGCAAGCGCGGAAGTGTAAGGTGTTGTTTCTAAATGAATCGCGACGAGAAATGCGAGTGCATCGAAAGGGGGCTACAGACATTGGTAGAATCTACCGTAGCCTTCGGTTCGGGTCTTGGATGATAAAAAACGTGTGAATAAATTGGGACTCCCTCCAGTCCGTGGGAGATGTATTGTTAATCATTGGACAGTGTGTGTGACAGTGCACGTTTATTGAATTGAAAGAAAAAAAAAAGAGAGAAAATCTCTTAAATACGAAGGCTGCGATAGTATTTTATCACTCGATACTTTGTGTAGTAATTAATTTTTAATTGCGTAATTATGATACAATAATAAAGGTATAGTTTTGTTAAATTTATTATCTACTATCTCTTATTGGTTTTGACCAGGGACTGTTTTATATAAAAATATATATATACATATATATATATATTATAAAATTGTGTACTCGCTACTGCGCATAAAGCAATTTACAAGCAAGGAACGCAAGACGGAATATAATCGTAATGTAGAGAAAAAAATAACTACAGTAATAACTTAATAAAAAAAAGAAGGAAAAATGTAAATATTATATACAATTACGCCTATAGAGACAGTAAGCAATCGTGTACTTGGAAAAGAAAAATGTATATAACGCAGTGTACTTTTAATTACATTAGGTGAAACAATAAACAGCTTCTTTTGTTGTTTGCAAATACCAAGGATTCGAATCTCTTATTTTATATCAATCAACGTACATGTGAGAAAAAAAAACATTATTTATTAAATTAATCTTATATGATCTTGAAAGTAGAGGAAATTATTTAAATAAAGATGCAGAATGCTGCGTCTTTATTTAGATGGTCGAAAATAATAAAGAAATACGGTTGATTTTATAAAATAATATTCATATATTTTATGCGAACGAAGCTCCATACGATCTGTGCAGCTTGAACTTTTATTAGAATCCTTTTGTACACAGAAATTTTCTTTTACGCATCTATAGGTTGTGGCACAATACGCATATACGTCCTGCCGGAAGGCAACATCACAGTCTTGATACTGTTATAGGAAGCTTTAGCTTCGCTGTCCGACACACTCGGATCGATCATTACGTCGTCCCCCTTCTAAAATATCATATAACGTGTAAAATACATGTAAAAATTAACGCGATATTTAATGCCCGATATTTAATTATAAACAGCGGAAAAATCAATATCTCTGAGAATCTTTAAGTGAATTTTTTTTTTCTCCAACCTACCCTCCAGTCTACAGGAGTCGCCACTTTGTACTTTTGCGTGAGCTGAAGAGATTCAATTACCCTTATTATTTCGCTGCAATTTAAAGAACGAAATTTTAGTGGCTTATACGAACGAGCGATAAGAGACACTTTGCGAAAGGATTCTTACTCGAAATTGCGGCCAGTCGTAGCTGGGTATAAAATTGATAGTCGCATCTTCTTAGCCGGGTCGATTATGAACACAGCTCGCGCCGACATGGGTAATCCAGTCCGGCTGTCGATCTCCGCGGGATCCAACATTCCCAACAATGTGGCAAGCTTCCTGGCTTGATCCTCTATTATCGGATATGGAAATTCTTCGTCCGTCACCTCGGCGTAATTCTTTATATCCTAGAAGAGTGTTTTTTGTTTTAATACCAATATGAATCTATGAGAAAAATTCATTTTAATATTAAATTTGATCAAATTGAAATCTAGCGCCACGTTTAGCTGCAGAAAAAAAATGGATTGTTAGCAAACCTCTATCCATTTACGATGGGAGTCGACAGAATTACAGGACAATGCGATTACTTTCACACCCAATCTCTTGAATTCAGGCATTAGTTTTACAACTCGCGCCAATTCGGTCGTGCATACTGGAGTGAAGTCGTTGGGATGGGAAAATAGGATACCCCACCTGTAATTTGTATTTATTTATTTTTATTTTAGTTATGTATATATATATATATTTATAAAATATTTTCTCGTGTGCATAGATGGAATTTAT